ACCTAGTGATAGGTAAATAATTCACCCAAATAATATTGAATTCTGAAGTTGTTTGTTAACATGCAAAAGTGTTGTTTGGCCAAGTAAAATAAAAGTTTCACAAGCTTCCCACCTTACCTAACGTTTCCCCGACAGATGTTTGGTGACGTGAGACTTTAATGAGGCAGGGCTTCAGTGTTTCGCCACAGTTGGTCTAGAGTGGGGGAAAGACCTCATTATGTAGAGCCCAGAGGAGTCGCTGACACAATGTAGAATGTCAGCAGAGAGGTGAGGGCGGGCGCTGCTGGGGCAGGCCGGTTAAAGGCCTCTTTGCTCTTCAAACCCCTGGTTCTTTAGCTGCTCTCCATTGGCTCCTCTAGTCAGGGCCTAGGCGGGGTAGAGAGGGAGCCACTGTTTTCAGAAAGGTACTCAGTCCTTTCCACATCCCCCAGGCTCCAGAGTTTAACTCTGTTCATTCTAGAACAACAGGGCTTCTCATCTTGAGCTTCAATCTGCAATTGGGACCAAATAGTTCTAGGATGGAGGCCGTCCTGTGAATTCTCCAGTGCCTTACCTAATAAATGTCCACGGGCCCAAGTTCTGAAAACTAGAAATGAATAGAGAGACCACCACGGGCCTTCTGAGGCCCATTAGTCTCAGTTGAGAGCTCTAGAGGAATACACCTGTAGCCAGTGCTCCTTACTAAGAGCTACTAAACGTGTTCCCAGCTTCACTGCCCTTCTAGTCTTGTTCCTTGTCCCAACTGTCCCTGTTCTCCATGAGAATGGAATGGTTAGAAGGTAGATATACCATTTTATTGGGTGTGTCAAATGGGCTCCTTGTTTGTTTTGGTTTTTCAAGACAGGGTTTCTCTGTGTAACAGCCCTGGCTGTCCTGGACCTTGCTCTGTAGACCAGGCTGGCTTCGAACTCACCAAGATCCTCCTGCCTCTGCCTCCCAAGTGCTGGGACTAAAGGCATAGGCTACCACCGCCTAGCTGTTTTATGTTTTAAGGGTAAACAAAATAGCATTAGTGCAGCGGTCCTCTCCACACCACCCCATGAATTCTCTCTCTCTCTCTCTCTCTCTCTCTCTCTCTCTCTCTCTCTCTCTCTCTCTCTCTCTCTCTCTCTCTCTCTCTCTCATACACACACACACACACACACACACTGATTGGCATTATTTTGTCAGGATATTTTTCCCTTTTAAAGTTATAAAACTGAGTGCAAAAGTGACCTTTTCCTTTATCCCTTATTCTATTGGAAGTATAGCTTAGAAAAACAGGCTATTATCTTTGAAGAGCTTCAACTTACTGTGCATGTCACTGAAAGGTTATATTGGTAGATTTTGAGAGATATAGTGCTTTGTTTATGTCTTTTAATGTTTTGGTCATGCCTTGTTTTTTGTTTTGTTTTCTTTTTCCTCATGTGGTCCAGGGCAGCCTCCAAATTCCTGTTTATTCAAGGGTGGTCTTGAACTTGAGATCCTCTGCCTGTATCTCTAGAGAGCAGGATTGCACATGTGTACCTTGGTGCTTGATTGGGTTGTTCATGACTTTCCACATAGCTCCTATGTACCAAGAATCATGGAAGAAAAAAATTCATTCTAAGGAATAGTTGGAGTTTGTAGAATTGGGTCATTGAACTATTAAATATTAAAAATAGATAAAAATGTAAATAACAAACTTTTATAAGGTATCTTAATCATATGGAAAAAAGCCTTGTATAACAGACAATACAAATCAGGGCAAGGGAGATGGCTCCATCGATAAAACTTCCCTTTAAGCATGAGGACCAGAGTTCAGATCCCCAGAATCCACAGCACATGTTGGCTACCTAGAGAGGCAGAGTCGGGGAACCCTGGAGCAAGCCAGCCAGACTTGCTGGGATCTGTGAGTTCTGGGTTCAGGGAAAGACCTACCCTCATTAAATACAGTGAAGAATGCACTTGAGCATATAACATGAGTGCTAATGCACACTACAAACACACACCTACAAGTTGAAACTACACAGAAGTACCACTTTCACATAAAAGCAACAAATTTGGTAATGTACTTAAAATAGCGTAAACAAAAACTCTTCTTATTCCATTTTCAGGTGTGTCGTGTTTGTAGGTGTGTATTTGCATGCTTTTTGCATGTGTAGGCCCATGTGTATGCAGATGTGGCGCACACGTGTACACATGAATGTAAAGGCCTAAGACTGATGTCATGACTCATCCTCTGTTCTTCCACTCTCGTTCATCGAGGCAGGTCTCCCAGTCAAGCCCAGAGCTCACTGATGGGAGTGGTCTTGCTAGCCAACTTGCTCTGGGGACTGCCCGTCTCTCTCGCCTTCCAGGCTGGAGCAGGAGGGCCTCCACAACTACCTCACTAAACTCCAGTGCTCAAATTTGCTTGTGGGGCAGGCACCGAGTCGCTTCCTCTTCCCCACAAACGCTTTAATGTTTTGCCTGGTATAAGTTGGTATAGCCTTCATGAAGACCAATTAGTCAGTATCTGAAAGTTTTGTGTATATGTTGTATCCTTTGACCCAGGAAGTACATTCTTGGAAATTCTTTCTTTACATGTACTCCAGAAGTGGTAAAGGTAGGAATATGTGATTACTCACTGACTGTGGTTTTTAATAACAAAATATTGGAAACAGTAATGACTAAAGTACATCCAACTCATCAGGAATTCAAGTTCTTTATGTATGTTACATTATTCGTGGTAACTGCCAAGTATGCTCTATTTTACAGATGGAGAAACTATCGTTAAGTTTATATAATTAAAAATATTTGAAGTCAGGGCTTCATGATAGCTTAGTAAACTGCTTGCTGTGTGAACCTGTTTGATCCCCAGAACATAAAAATCTGGGCACAGTCAGGCTTGTGCGAGTGTAGTGAGATTGGCACTGTACCTGTGAGGTCTGCCTCCTCAGAACCGAGACCTCAGTCTAATAATGAGTTAGCCATCAGGCAGCTCCACGAGTGAGCCACTATAAAACACGTGACCAGTAAGCACATAACCAGAGCCTCCAGAAACTGTAAAATGTGAAGAATCGTTACATCCGAAAACACATAATAGCACCTGGCAGCTCAAGGTCACATAGACTCATGGATGGGATCCTGGAAAGGGGAAAGGAGTTTAGGTAAAAGCTAAGGAAATCTAAACAAAATACGATAACATTTGGTATAAACGTATCATACTACTATAAAGTATTAATAATGGGGAAACTGAGTAAATGGGAGCACTGTAATTTTTGTATGAATTTTTCTGTACATCTAAAACTTTCCTGAGTAGTATTTTAAAACTAAATTTAAAATTCAGGCATCCACTTGAAAAGAAATTGTGAACATGATTATAATACTTTAAATGTTTTAGTAGGTCTTTAAGAAGTTGATGCACTTATTTTGATCATGTTCACCTCTATTCCTCCAGACTCCCCCCACCTCCCTACCGCCAACCGTGTCCAGCCTTTCTTTTAATTACTTGAGTCCGTCTGTGTCACTCATTCCCTCCTGGATGTGGAGCTGTCCACTGCAGCTTGGGCACCCCTAAACACGGACTCCCCAGCGCCTGCCCACAGCTTCTCCGTTAGGGTTGCAGACGCCGTCCTTCCCACTGGTTGGAGTGTCGATTGACTTGCTTCTGTGCAGGTCTTGGACAGCAAGTCATCGCTGCTGAGAGTGCCTGGGAGCAGCAGTCCTTTCATCATCCTAGTCTGCCCAGCCTCTGCCTCTTGCAGTGCTCCGCCCCTTCTTCTGTGATGTTTCTGTGCGGGTGTCCAGGGGAAGCGAGCTTCCTTAAAATTCTAACACGATTTCCATGTGTAAGCAGAGTTGTGTCACGTTCTCATTCGTGAAGACCCGATTTCTGAATTTTTCAAGCTCATGAGTAGCAAATACCTGTATATTCATTTCCTTGGCAGGTTGTTTCCGTTTGTTTTGTATGTTGTTTAGACATTTTAAAGCTATGAGTTGGTGGTTTGTTTCCTGTTCCTGTAGATGTTTATCTTTAATGTAGTCATGCCTCTAACCCTCGGATGTTTTTAAAGATTGGCCACAGTGATTCCCTGAATTTCAGTGACAATACTTAATCTTTTCTCTTTTTTTTTTTCAGTATGTTTTCTGTTATTTTGGTTCTGACATTTGCTTTTGGATCATTGCTATCTTAAGAAACATTCTTATAAAATATTATATTAAATAGCAGGGTTTTCCGAAAACCAGTTATTAGACCTTTCCCTCTGGTCACTCAGTAATTGTCATATTTATAGATGAGTATTTTGTGGAAATATTTGCTTATCTAGAAAATGACTTTTTTGTCAACCCCAACATCTTTCAGCCTCTTGACCTACAAAGGTTGATTTTAAATAATTATTTGTAATATTTTCTGCTCTCCTTCTTTTACCTGCACTTGGGTATTTGTATATTCACTTATCTGTCAATGCTAAGGCTTGTTTGGACAGTCCACATGCTGGACAAACACTGGGCCACTCCCTGTGACCGTTACCCGTTAGGTCACGTGTCTCTTGCAGTATCATATCTTCTCTAGGCATACGTTTATTTGAATGTTGCTTTCCTTCTTTAACTGATGTTTTGAGGTTTTAATTTTTTCAGTTACTACCAATAGAGACAAGAAACGAGCCTTTACCAGTTCATGGACACTTCCCATGTCACACCCAGAGACTAGCAACAGCTGATCATGCATTGAGCAGTCCCCGCTAACGAATGGAAACAAGTAGTTGCCTTGCAGGCTAAGAATAGAGTGAGTGGAAGGTTGTGTTCTCTTATAGCAGTTTAGAAGTCCGAATTTTGTAAGAGACCTGTGTTTTAAGGTAATGATTATTGCAAATTTACTTTTCTGTTTTTGAGCTTTAAAATTAACCAGGGTATTTGATATTTGAGTACAAGGTTCACCTTTTCGATATTAAATGAGTTGTTAGCTACCAGCATTAAGCTAGACAGACTGAAACTCTTCTATAGCATACCCACAGCGGTGGGAAGCTACGGGATGCTGACACAGGGCTGTCTTCCTGCAGTTCCCAGAGTGTGGCTTCTTTGGCATGTATGATAAAATTCTTCTCTTCCGCCACGACATGGACTCGGAAAACATTTTGCAGCTGATCACCTCAGCAGACGACATACGGGAAGGGGATCTTGTGGAAGTTGTCCTGTCAGGTAAGCAAATGGCTCCTTCTGGGCTTTTCCCTCTATTTTCTCCCACAAAGAGTATTCACTGTACTAGTCCTGTGTTCTGCCCCGCTTGGCTTTGAGAGTACGCAATCGCTTGCTTCTTTAATGTGTAGTAATGGTTTCTGCGTGGCTTTCACTTTCAGGAAGGTTATATCACAATGAGAAAATAGGAAAACAAATTGAATTACTTAAGTGTTTTGAAGCTAAGGGAAAAAGAAATTCTCTTTCTATGGGTCAGAAAAAATAAATCGAGATTACTTTTGTTAAAAAGCATAGATGAAGAGAACTGAGGTTCCCAAAAGAGAATCTGGATAAAAGGAGAAATAGGGAAGACCTGGAAGAGAGGGTGACAGTGCTGACTCCTTGATGGCTTTCAAATGTCTCTTCCCTCCCTGTTCACACTCTGTTCCTGCCCCCCTCACTTCCTTGTCCCCTGCCCCCACTGTTTCCAGTCTCACCCAACAGCAGGGAACAAGGTGGCCAGCGACTAGGGTGAGGGGAGGAAGGCTTGCTTTTGATTGGCAAGAAAAGGAGATTGATAAGAGAGGGAAGCAAATGTCGACCTCCCGCCCACACTCATCTTTCAGCTATCCCTGAGATCCTCTGACCACTGCTTCTCCCATTGGTCCTAAGGCTTCTCATCTGTTTCCCACTCTTCTGTCTACCTAGTCGCGGGGGGCTGATCTCACACCACAACCCCACCTTCTTCCTCCTCACTCCCGAGGGAGTTTGTGTGCTCTTCTCCTTTAAGGTCAGGGTCACATTCATTCCCTCTTGGCTTTGGATATTTCGTCAAACCATGGGGACGTCACTAGTGACTTTCAGGTTGAAGTGAAAGAAACGTGTCTGTATCTACTGCGCTCCATTGCTCATGGAGGACAAAGGAGTCCTGGCAATCTGTTTAAACTCATTATCTATTCTCACAGAAACATTTTGACAACGAGGTTAAGTCCCATACTACTTATATTTTTACCATTTACTTCAGTGTTTTCTTTCTCGGTGTATCCTAACCGAAACAGTTTCTAATGGGCTAAGTAAGATGTAGTAGCTCTTCCGTCTTGTCGTTATGAGACAATGCTTTTGTTATACCTAGCCTACAGACTTCCAACTTGGCTTATTTGGAGCTTCACTCATTTAAAGCTGTTAGACTTCTAAAAGTACTGCTTAAAAATCACAGGACTGGGCCAGAAGGATGACTCCACAGATAACGGCCTCTGCTACTTCATCTTGCAGCCTGATGGCGGCCCCCAGGTCACACATGGTAGGAGGAGAGGACTCAGACATACAAGATGCCCTCTGACCTCCACACATACCATGCACGTGCTCCTTCCCCAACACACATGCACGCACACAATAAATAAATGTAGCAAAATACTTTAGATCACAGTTTTAAATGCTAAAAAGGATTTATTTTGTGGTCAGATGAAACTTTCAGAGAAGTTACCCTGTATTTTGATATAAATGGATATGGTGACCATTCCTAACATCTTTGCCATTATAAAATATCGTTTAACACTTTGTTTTTGCTTTGATTTTCTTTTCCCAAAAAGCCTTGGCCACAGTAGAAGACTTCCAGATTCGCCCTCATACTCTATATGTACATTCTTACAAAGCACCTACCTTCTGTGATTATTGTGGTGAAATGCTCTGGGGATTGGTACGGCAAGGATTAAAATGTGAAGGTAAGTACTTTTAGATTCACGTTTTAATTTGAAAGAGATTTTACATTCACAGTTTTGACTTACCAGTGAAAGACTGAGATCAGAGTTGGTGTCTAGACAGTAAGGGTTAGAATTGCAAAGCTGAGAGCTCTGGCTTTTCCTCTGCCTCCACCTACTGGTCCCTGTGCATAAGCAACTTAGTAGACTGAGCAGTGATCTCAGTTTCATGAGTGGTTAAAGAAGGTAATGTGAATAAAATATTTGACACAAAGCAGTGGCTTAATAACTATTGGCCATTTTTAGTTTTTTCTGTACAGTGGTAAAATGTCAAATTGTTATTAGTTAGAATTGCTGGGGAGCAGGCCACAGGGACATAAGTCTAATTAAGAGACAGTCTTCTGCTGTGGAGGGTTAGCTAGCTTGTTTGTAAAGTAATGACAAGCAAATATTTTGTTTAGGTTTTGTAGGCTTGTGGTTTCTATTGTGACTTACCTCTGCTGTTGTAATATAAAATTAACCATAGGACCCAGAGAGATGACTCATCACCTGAGAGCACCTGCTACTCTTTCAGAGGACCTGGGCTCAATTCCCAGCCTTCACATGGTGCCTCAAACCATCTATAACTTGAGTTCCAGAGGATCTGATGCCCAAGTCATGTATGTGGCACATATCCATATTTGAAGACAAAACACAGAAGAAAATTTTAATTGTTTAAAAACTCAGCAGTTGCCGGGCGGTGGTGGTGCACGCCTTTAATCCCAGCACTCAGGAGGTAGAGGCAGGCGGATCTCTGTGAGTTCGAGGCCGGGCTGGACCGATAGCCTCCAAAACAATACAGAGAAACCCTGTCTCGTAAAAACCAAAAAAAAAAAAAAAAAAACCTCAGCAGTTAACTACATATAATATATAAATAAACTGGGTGTGGTGACGTGTTTGGGAAGTTTGGAGACAAGAGAATCACTAGGGTTTTCATACATCTCAAGGTCCCAGTGAGACACCCTGTCCCCAGAACAAGGTGTATGTCAGCTAAGGAATGACAGCTGAGATAGATCTCTGATATCCACACTCTTACACACGTACCTGCGCATACATGACACACATGTAACTTTCGTGTTATCATATATTATATTACAATGTTATTGCTCTATTATTACTTACTATTATTGTGTATTCATGAACACTGAGGTTTTAAGTTCATGTAGTTTTCTCGTCATTGAAGGTTTGCTGTACACAGGCCACGGTTTGCCCCTGGACAGTGCCCGAAGTCAGTAGCTCTTGAGCTTTGCCAAGTACCATAAAGCACGCCTTTCTGGGCTCCACCCCGGGGCTTTCCGGTCTGTGGGTTTGGGGATGAGTCTAGTAATTTATGTTTCAAATAAATTTCCAGGTGATTGTCTTAGCTATCATAGGTCAAGATTCAATTTAATTTAACTTTTCTGAAGAAAAACCTTTCTACATTTTTACTATTCTTGAATTTGTTACCTTACACATAGTCTGTCATCTGAGTTCTTAATTAAGGTTGGTATTGTTGCCAGAGAAAATAAATAAAGAGATGCTGGTTTTTAAATGTCACATTTCAAATAGTTACATTTTAAAATTGTGTATTTTACTCTTAAAATATACTTAGGCTGTGGATTAAATTATCATAAACGATGTGCCTTCAAGATTCCAAATAACTGTAGTGGAGTAAGAAAGAGACGTCTGTCAAACGTATCTCTGCCAGGACCTGGCCTCTCAGTTCCGAGACCCCTGCAGCCTGAGTGTGTGCCCCTTCTCAGTGAGGAGGTATGTATTCTCAGGTCATAGAAGTACTTGTACTAACTATTCCCAGTGGTTTCACAGGACATAGGACATCCTAAAGCAGGTGATAGCAAAGTATAATAGTGTTGCTGCACTTTCAGCACTTTAAAGGTAATAATGATGACAGCTCTACCAAAGGCCATTGGTAGTCTGTGCCCCCTTGGGATTCATTATCACTTAGACCACTGTGTGAGCCTCCTTCCCATTATCCTGGCACCCAGTCTCCATGCTTCACTTAGTCTTGCATGTAACCATCAGGTGAGGTTTCCTAATATACTGCTCTGATTATGTCTCTCTCCACTAGGTAGCTATGTTAGGGATCTCCAGAAGAGCAAAACCTGTACAGTAATGCATGTGTGAGTGCATGCATGCATGCATGTGATTTATAGACTAGGAAGCTGGAGAAACTGTTACTGAGAAACTGGAGGTCAAGTCTGCCTTCAGAGCCTGGTGCATATGGAGTCTGACATACACAGTGATGGCAGGAGGAATCGACTCTCTGCTACTAGCATAGTATTAGAAATGTTTTGTTACATCTGGACCCACAGCCTCATCAGTGACGCCACCCACACTGGCAGCATGTCTTTCCCACCCAGCTATTTCCAGTCAGTTTGCTGACCCACACTTACCTAGACCTATGATGTACCTTATTCTGTGGATACCATCACACTTTTGAAACCTTCCTGTTTATGAGTCTAGCATAGTGTTTGCATACTAGATTATAGAAAATGAAGAATAAGTTTCTAAAACTGAACAAATAAAAGCCAAGATATAACACCTCACTGAGTAAGGAAGTAAGTTTGGAAGCAGGCATATTGAGAATAAAGCCTTTAAGCGTAACTCTGAGATTGCTTTGCATGTACAAAACTATTTCTATCATGACCGTAGAAGACGGTGTAAAGAGGTTTATGAACTCAGAGACATATGTAAGGTCTGGAAGAAAACTGATAGTAGAAAATTAGTATATCTTATACACTGAACCGCACAGGGAACATGTCTGGTACAGAGAAGTGTATTGCTTTAAGAGCCCCACAAATGGTGCTCTGGTGGCAGCTGCACACAATTGAATGTTAGGAGCCTAGGGAGGGCAGAAAGACAGAGGAAAGTAAAAGAACAGCCATCCTGTAGTATTCACAGGGTATTGGCTCTAGACCTTCGGCGGATAGTGAAATCCATTAGTGTTCAGCTCCTTTATAGACATGGATACAATATTTGCATGTAGCCTACACACCTCCGAGGTCTCTTTGCTAAATCTACTGACATCCTCCTTCCTTGGACTGCTCTTTAAGTCTCCTCACCAGCAGATGGGACTGATGGGATCATACTGTGAGTCAGCATACTGAGGTAGGGAGATTTCATATTTCATACTGAGTTCAGTCTCTGGGTCCAGCTTCATATTTAGATGGGGGTAGAATTTAAGTAGCCCCATATACTGACATGTGACTGCTGCAGCCACACACGCAGACTCGGGCTCTGTCCTGTGTCCCTAATGAAGTGTTATCAGCAGGGTCTAAACAAAGGCACTAACTGGCCATGGCATATGAAAGACCGTCCAGAAAATAGCGACCGATAGCTAAGTCAGTCGTGCAGTGTCGTGTCTGATTTGAACTTGAGACAAACCCAGAATAGTAGAGAAAGGAGCAGGCGGTGTAGAGTGGGCTGGCACGTCTGCTCTTGACACATCGCTGCTTGGGAGAGCATCGGACAAGCTCAGAACGCGGTCTCCGACAGTGAAGACACAGGACTTTAATCTTTTCAGTCCTCTGGGCCAGGCATTCAGCTTGTATGCTTAAAAGCAGGGTTATATTATGTGTTCCAAATGTATAACATAGCACTTAGCGTATAATAATCAGTGGGTGTGTATTCAGGGAGTGGAGTGCGTGGCACTGAAGTGGCTGATAATTTAGTGTGACTATTCCCTTTGTTTAGAGAGAGCTACATAAGCAGTTTTAATTGTTCTTTAATTTTTTAGTTTTACTTGGAGAAAAAAACTGGAAAATACTTGCACTACCAAGGAACTGCTTAAAATCTAATTAGTATCTCTAACACTTTATGTTTTGTTTGCCATCATTTAGTTCAAATTCCTACGAACATATTCTAGTATTGTTTGGGAACTTTTGAAGCTAAATTTTGTTTCAGGCTGTTTTCAATAATGCAACGTGTTCAGGACCATGATTTCTCAGTTCATTGCTTTTCCTGAGATTAACTGCTTGGTCAGTTCTGAGTGGGTGTTAACATGTTATAAATTCCTTGTTGCATTTTGGTTTTTATGGTAAAATGCTAAATGTGTATAGCAAATACTAATCTCACTCTGTGTGTGTACGTGTGTATGCATGCATGCACGTGCAAGCGTGTGAACACGCAGAGGGGTTGAGGAATGAAAACAATAGAAGGTTATTGGGTTGGCTGAGGAGCCTGCTTTTGTTGTGGTAGAATGAGCTCCGTTGTAAAGGAAGTTATGGAAAGTGCCAGTGGCAGGAATGCCTACCTCTACAGCAAAGTCAATCAGTAGGTCCCAAGGAGAACAAACTGTAGGCCTGCTCCTGTAGGTGGCCGGAGATTGCTCAAGTCTATTGGCCCTTCCCTGGGAGTGGGGACGAGACTCCCCATCATCAGTGCTGTGGACTCATGGTTGGACCCTGTGTCCTCCCCTTGCTCAACATTTAATCCCATCTTCTCAACACCAGCTGTGATTTTTGTCAAGGACCTCTCTCTTCTTCAAGTGTGTTTTGTGGTACTCTGAGATGTAGAGAAATAAACCAAATGACCGACTGTCATGTGATTCCCTCCCAATAAGTCAAACGGGTAGTTCCCTGCAGTAGTCTGGAGCCAGCGTTGCTACTCTCTTAACTCTGTATTTCTTTTCAAAGGTGCTAAAAACTGAAATCTGCTGGTGGTTTCTCTACTCTTTGAAATGACTCTGATAAAGTACTTTTCCACACTTCGTTCTTGTGTTAGCAATTGCTCAGATTCGTCAAAGGTCTGTACTTTCCTCACACAAATGCCAGTAAATAAATCCGGAGGAAACTGCAGAGGTCCACAGTTTTTAAATACTGACTTTAGTAGTATTCCCAATAACTTGTGCTTAAGCTTTTCTCCTAATACTTCGTTTTTAATATTAACCTATGCTGACAGAAATTGCCTACATTTTAGGCACATAGTCACCAAGAGCCAAGTAAGAGAATCCCATCCTGGAGTGGCCGTCCAATCTGGATGGAAAAGATGGTAATGTGCAGAGTCAAAGTCCCACACACATTTGCTGTCCACTCTTACGGCCGCCCCACAATATGCCAGTACTGCAAGCGGCTCCTGAAAGGCCTCTTCCGCCAAGGCATGCAGTGTAAAGGTAGGATTTCTCACGCTCCCGCTGCAAGTTTAAAGTAAGCTTCAGAAACATTTACTACAAAAATAGTTCTTAGAGTTAGCTTAAGAAGCTGTGTCAGTGCCAAATTACTTTTATCTCCAGTGTTTTATACTGTTAAAAAAGAAACCATCAAAGCAACTATATGAGAAATAATGGCACTCATTGTCACTTAAATTAAGTATATGATCACATGGCTGGTAAGTAGAAACTCTATGCATGCCTTTAGATTCTTTATGAAGTAAGAGGAGAGAGGGAGCTGCCAGCATGTTTGCAGTCTACAAATGACATTAGCTTCAGTACACAAAAAAACTGATCCCTGGTTGTGTTAAAAAGCTATTAAATGCCATCAGAAGTTGAGACCAGACTATCATCCAAAACTTGAGTTCTTAGAGGGAGGGAGACACTCTCTTTGAGTGATTTAGAGGAAGTATAGTCATATCTGATCTTACCTGTTTAAATGACAAGCTGAATATTTTTATTTCAGATTGCAAATTCAACTGCCACAAACGCTGCGCTTCAAAAGTGCCAAGAGACTGCCTTGGCGAGGTTACTTTCAATGGAGGTAAAATTATTTATCTTTAGAAAGGTCACGACTCTGTGTATTGTCTGGGTAAGGTTGTTCACATATTTTATTTTGCTGACTTTGTTCACGGTTTTCTTTGACTTAATAACTAAGCAGATGCAGGGATCAGTGACGGTACTCAGCAGTAGTACCCGTCTTTCTTCCAGCCACCCTGCTTCTCTGTGACTCCCAGTACCCAGGGACATGACATAGGGCGTGCAGATGCACCTCTGAGATCTCGCTGTTGTCTCTGTTCTTTATTTACTGACTTTTAAATGTAAGAACACCCCTCTGAGGTCATCCTAATAAATATCTAAAACACAGATACATTAACTAATTTGCCTAAGAATTAGGGCTAAGAAATGGCAGAGCTAGAATATGAAGCTGTATCTGGCTCCTTTGTCTTTCTCTCAAGTAATCTATGACCATCTTCCTCCCAGACATTACTAGTGAAGCCATTGCATGCTTTTGGAATGGGGAGTAGGGAGTGCTTGCGTTAGGCTTCTGACATCGTTTTCCTTTAACAATGTATATGAGAGAGAACAGTAAATGTAAGCAAACTTGTAGGAATAGGCTAAGGATTGAAAGTCTAACTCCTTGAGAATCTAACATTTTCTGCAAATTTTCCATGGCTGTCAGTAGTCTTGGATCTGTTTAACGTGGGGTAGTTTATATGCAACAGAAACTAATTTCCCATAGTTCTGAAGGCTAAGAAGTCCAGGGTGCCAGCAGATTCTGAATTTAGTGAGAGTCTTACCTCTTGGTTCATGGAAGATGCTATTTAGCTCCATGGTAACATGCTGGAATGTGTGAATAAGCTCTTTGGGGCACTAATGCAAATCATAGGCACAGAACCTTCACAACTGACCACCTCCCAAAGGTTCCACCTCTAATACCACTACCTCAGAGGGTGATGTAATACAGGTTTTGGGGAAAACATCTCGTTTGCACCATAGCTAGTTGACATCATTGATAGAGTATGGTTTTTCCCATACCTAAGGTCTTGCCTAGCTTTATTAGAGTTTACACATTTTTGTTCTTTTCTACCTTTTGATAAATGGAAATGAAATGCCATATATTCATTTTAATTTGCATTTCTCTGTTTACTTATGAGTTTGAACATCTTTCAAGTGTTCACTGGTTATTTGTGTATGTCCTTACCCCCTGCGTTGCATGTTCAAATGCTTTATTTTTGTGATAATTTGACATACTAATCATTTTTTCATTTATAGATGGCATAATGACTTGGCATATTTTTAGCAGCTTTTCTGAGATCTAGTTTGTTTTATAGTTTACCCATTTGACATATTCACAGTTAATGTGGCCATTACTCTGTCTAATGTCAGAAATTTTTATTTCCCCACAAAATTATATAATCCATAGTCCTGCCCAGAATAAAGCGATGAGTGATGCTACTCTTAGTAGTTAGCCTCTGGCAATCAGTAGACACCTCTCCACTTCTGTGTGTGTCTATTTTGGAAATGATGTATCAGTACAGCTACACAGTAAATATGCAGGCTGGTGGCTGTCTCCTTTTACTTGGCATAATTTCAGAGTTCAGATCTATTGTAACTACGTCAGTGTTTAGTTCTTCTTGTGGACAAATGACCCTGCTTTCACAGAGATGACTGCAGTTTGCTTTTGCAGTTACCAGTCAGTCCGTGTTTGAGGTGACCCTGCTTTGGGGTTGTTAGGAATGATATTGTCGTGCACAGTATTCTCTGTGGACATGCGCTTTCATTTCACTTGGGCAGATACCTGGTACAGTAGATGCTTGAGGGACTTGGTGACTATGTGTAACATTTTGAAGCCTGGCCAGAGCCACTGTGCTGGCTTACATCCATCCTTTATCACTGAATTGTAGACTTTAGATATTCTGAATACAGCTCCCTTACCTAGTGTTTTGTGCATATATTTTCTTGGTGGTAAATCACTTGCCTAGAATTTGCAAGGCCCAGCCCACCAAATCTAGAATTTGATCCCCAACCCACCAAAAAACAAAAAAAGTAAGAAGCAAGCTAAGACTCCCTCGCCTTGAATCTTAAGGATGCTTTTTTCAACTTTTAAAACTTTTCCAAGTTGAATTTAACACTAATCTGATTAGCTGCATTGATGCTTTGTTAATATTAAACTGCAGTTCTTTTAAAACTCTCCTAGAGCCTTCCAGTCTGGGAACTGATACAGATATGCCCATGGATATTGACAGTAACGACATGAACAGCGATGGCAGCAGGGGCTTGGATGACTCAGAGGAGCCGTCCCCACCCGAAGACAAAATGTTCTTCCTGGACCCAGCTGATCTTGATGTGGAGCGAGATGAGGAAACTGTGAAAACAATCAGGTAACGAATTAAGCTGTTGCCAATGGCAAAGGCAATCGGCATCTCCATTAAGGAAAGGTGGCATTCTTTAAGGGGAATTTTAAATGCAATTTAAAGTCTAATTAAATCGTGGCTAATTCTTTCTTGCATGCACCACAGTATTTCTGAAATAAATTCTATTACCTTTGCCATCTACTCAAGATAGAAAGTACAAGAATCTTCACTTTCTAAAAGAAAGGGACTTTATTTAATAAAGTCTGGATAAAATGTCTAGCTGTGGAGCAGCCACCTCAAGGTGCCCGTATTAAACCATTAATTGAAGCAACCTGGTTTCTTCACACATGCAGGTTACCGGGTGGTAAAATGAGCAGTGAAGAATACGTTCCTGAGATATTTCCACACACATACACCAAATTGCACATTTTCTCCAGACGTAATTTTACTTGACCTGATTTGATTACTACAGTATTTAATGTTCTTAATACCTATAAGTAATTTCCCTTAAGATATTTTTTTCTTTAATCTGATCGACTGATTTTGAAATTTAAGCCCTGCGAAGTTGAATAAACATGTTTTTTTGCCTTATGAATTTATTCTTCTGCCCAGGGCAAGAAAATTCCTCCACAGCAAACCCAGATGAACTCCCCAGGCTCCAGGTCACCTGGCCAGAAGATCCTTCTTCTCCATCCATCATCTCCCCTCCCTCTCTCCCTTACCCTCTCATGTGTGTCCACGGCCTTCCAGAAAAGACCATGACAAACTGATAGTTACAGTATTATAGTAGCGTGATACGTTAACTGTGCATCAGTATAACAGGCAGAGCTAATTTGTTTTCTTTTAAGTCATTGTCTTCTTATATTTTGAAAAATAGTACCTCAGTTATCTTTTAAATTTTTTGATGAGGCTATGTATACAGTGTGTATGAGTCTGTTAATTAGACATTGAAAATGCTGATCATAAGTTTTAAATATTTTTTAGTCCATCTACAAGCAGTAACATCCCACTGATGCGGGTTGTGCAGTCCGTCAAGCACACAAAGAGGAGGAGCAGCACAGTGGTGAAGGAGGGGTGGATGGTCCATCACACCAGCAGGGACAACCTGGTTAGTAAGCACATTTGAATGCGCTGGCTGTTACTTCACGCACGTCTAAAATTAAGAGTGGGATACACACACACACACACACACACACACATAAATATATATATGGATATATGTATATATATATGAAGACTTTGTGTACACTACAGCAGTGTGCAAAAGTTACACGATTTGAAGATCATCGGAGTAACGACTCAAACATGATTATAGCTAACGATGGAAAAGGTTAGAACTGCATTTGAGTAGTCATCTTTAGTAAGGAAGGAAACAGTTGTGCTCTCTTTGGACCCATGTGGTTACAGTGTTACAGCAGAGGAAGGCAGTGTAGTGCAGTGGTAAGAGCACTGGCTCCAGAGCTAGGCTGGGGGAAGTCCGTAACTGTAACTGTAACACACAGTCTCTTTTTCTTTATGCCTCCATCTCCTTGTCTGTAAGTCTGCGTAGTCGTCCTTCTTTCTCCTGCTTCCACATGAGCTACTGTATGTGAGAAGAGCTTAGGACAATGTTCAGCTTAGAGGAAGCAGTCAGTAAATACCAGCAGCCATTAAGATGGGCTGGATATTTTCTAGTAGGCCTTTTAAGAAGTTCATGAGTTGAAGTTAGACTGCCGCTTGTTCAGACCTCCTCGGGGAAGGTTCTTTGTGCAGAGGATGGCAGTGAATGCAGAAATTCACCACTGGTCACAGTGCAGAGTAAGCTTCTGTGGAGTGCTCAGCCACAAATGAGAGCCGTGTCACCTCATCTCCCTAAGACTTGGGGACCATTGAGAAAGAGGGGCAGGAGGACCCAAGAGAACAGTGTCTTCTGGACGTGACGGAACTGCTGTGCTCAAGAACTCTCAGCAGCTGTGGCTACCTGCACAAGATCAAGCCAGTCACCATTCCAGTGGGGAGGGGCTCACCAGCCCCTGTTCTAGCTGAGGGCTTCGGGGGAGGGAGACTTGATCTTCTTTAAGGTTATGGCTCCTGGTAGGTCAACCATGCATCACCGATGGCGGCACCAATTGAACTTTAGGTTATTTTTCAAGGAGGGTTACAAAATTGGGGGTGGGGTTAGATCTGGGCAGAATTGGGAAAGTGGGGGTAAGAATGATCAAATTCACTGTATGCATCTATAAAATGCTCAAAAATAAAAATATTTAAAAACGAAGTGTTTAATGTATTTAGCTGGTTTCAGTAAAGTTTTATATGGTGACAGCAGTACAGATTATGGCTGAATATTTTTTTATTTGTTTACAACCCATGTCCTTTCAACTGGAACTTAAAAAAGTATACACACATTTGAGGGTTTAGTGGTGTATCTAATGATGGGTAATTCAACAAATAGTATTGGGATAACCAAATAGCCATTTTGGGGGAAAATGGTTGTAACATAAATCACAGTTCACATATAACAAAGCTAAATGGATCAAAGACTTAAATTGTTTCAAGTTAAACCAGTAGAAGAAACATTAGAAAAGTTATTTTATCAAGACTCCATGTTGGAGAGGGGAGATAATGAACCAATCTCAAGAAAGAAATTCTGTATGACAACCTATAAAACAAGACAAATGACAACCTGAAAAAAATTTTCAACTTATGCTTTAAATAAGAACTAATCAAGCATGTGTGAGTAAAGCCAACAAATTGATGATAAAAAAAAATACCATAGCCCAATAAAAAATCAAATTAAAATGAAAAGAGAAATCACAGAAAGAAAAATAAAATTACTCCTACACATAAAGTGTGGTTTCATTTATAATAAAGGAAATGTCAACTTCAACCTGCATTGACATACAATTTTCTTTTTCTGTTTTTGGAGGCCATACAACCCTTACACAGGGGTCACCTAAAACCATCGGAAACGTATTTGCATTATAACTCATTACAGAAGCAAAGTTACAGTTATGAAGTAGCAATGAAAATAATCGTATGGTTGGGGTCCCCACATGAGAAACTATTAACAGCATTAGGAAGGTTGAGAACCACTTGTCTAAGTAGTCTCCCATGTGTTGGGGGATACGACTAAATTAGGTCAAGTCATGTGTAATATAAAACACTATCAAAGCAGTATTTTTTATCTTTTTAATTTTTTCTATACTTTGAGAATTCCATATACTTATGTAGTGAAACACATCAACTCCATTTCTCCCCGAGTCCCCCAACTCTTTCACCTTGATGCCTTTGTGTGTGTGCTAGCCACTAAGTCAAGTCAGTGAATACTGCCCACAAATGCCAGGGTATTCGGCCACACACAGGAGGATGCAAACCTACCAGTGTCCACATCCCCCCCAAAAGAAATGATTCTCCTCCTCCTGGCAACTACCCACTGCTAATGACTCCCCATTAATGGGCAAGGCCTAAAGTCCATCTACCCCAGCTGTGCCAGGATTTTGTCTGGCTTGATCTGGTACAGTCGTGCAGGTGACCACAGTTGCTATGAGTATGGTTGCAAGGCCATGTCATTCCCTGAAGACGGCATTTCGCGGCACCCCTCCCTGTCCTCTGACTCTTTCTGCCTCTGTGTGATGCCACCTGGGCCCCGGTGGTGACTGGGTAAATATCAGTGTCCCATTTAGACCGAGTCCTTTGCTCTCAGCACACTGGCCAGTTTTGTGTCTTCCCATGCACAAGCCTCTGACCTAGCTTGAGTGCAGCCCGGGTCTGCCAGCTGGAGCTAGGGGAATTACACAAGTGTGAGTCTGCGCTCTGTCCTGTAGGCACCAGGAGCTGGGTCAACAAGGGTGGTCAGAGCCTGAGAACTCGTTGCCTGCTGGTGCTTGGGAAGCAGGGTGTGTGTGTGTGTGTCTTGACAATACTTAGAAATTTAGCGTATATGTACATTATATACATCTATGCATATGAGTAATCCATAGATATTTCTGTGCGTGTCCATGAAGGGTCCCTCGAAATCTAGCAGCACAGCTTACTTGGGGAGGAGTAAGGAATGGGAGAGGAGGCACTGTGAGAGTGACACTTCTCACTAGGTTTCCTTCTTATATTTTGAAGTTTTTGACCCCGTTCTAAAGCTTGCTTGAAATGGAGGAATGTGTAGTAAAGGAAAATGCAAGTACTTTGGAAGGAGTAGCTTTTAAACCCCATTTTCTAACTTCTGTTTTTAACAGAGAAAGAGGCACTACTGGAGACTTGACAGCAAATGCCTAACATTGTTTCAAAATGAATCTGGATCAAAATATTATAAGGTAAGGGTTTCTTTCATACTTTGTAAAAAGTTAAAACACCGTGACAGTTTTACCTTCTGGTTTCAGTAGAGTTTTGCATGGTTAACGTCACAATTTACAGAGGGCATTGTCAGGTCCTTGTTGAAGCAGCTGCCATCCACCTCCATTTCACATGCACACTCAGGAAAAAGTGAAGAATCACCTGGTTTTTTTTTAACTAAATGTTAAATAATTTAAATAGTTGATAGTGTACGGCAATATGTAGACTCGAAGGGTTGCTTAAGCAACCTTACTGCCCAGGGTTATTTTTCTGCCGTAATGTCCTCTTGCTCATCTTCAGGGTATTGCTTGCAGAAGGGTAGGCACTAGAGACAGCTGTTGGGTGGCACTGACTAACTGAAGTTGGCGCGTGTTGGATATGGAGGAAAACTGCCCTCCTAAATGCTTTTCTGCCATAGCCCCAAGTCTCTCTTTTATTTCACTGTGGGGGGGGGAGGACCAGAGGCGGATGTCAGATGTCTTCCTCTATTATTGCTCACTCTTTTGAAGTATAAGTCCTCCTTTTATTTGTATGTGTACAAGTGTTTGCCTGAATGTATGTCTATGCACTATGTGCATGCCCGGTGCCCGTAGTGACAGGGGAGGGCATTGGTCCCCTAGAACTAGAATTACAGGTGGCTGTGAGCTACCACGTGGGTTCTGGGAACTGAACCCAGGACCTCTTCAAGAGTAGAAAGTTCTCTTAACCACTGAGCCCCTCCACATTGTTTTTAAAGGTGGGGTCTTTCACTAAGCTCACTGTTTTTGGATAGACTAGCCAGCCAGTGAGCTCCCTGAGATCCATCTGTCCCTGCCTACCACCCTCCAACTCTGGGATGTGACAGGTCCTCATGTTTGCACAGGAAGCACTTTATACATCACACGCCCTGAGTCTCTAATACTCCATGATCTGCCTCCATCATTGCCAGACAACCAAACCATTTAAGACAGACATACCATAATGTAATCCATGTGCCATAGACTGTGTTGGTCTTGGTGGCATTCATAAAAATGCTTAACTTTGATTCTTTAATGTATTTAAAAGTAAAAACAAATATGTACTCATAGTTTTTCAATGGCTAACTTTTATGGCAGGAAATTCCACTTTCAGAAATTCTCCGCGTGTCTTCTCCACAAGACTTCTCCAGCATTTCACAAGGCAGTAACCCACACTGTTTTGAAATCATCACTGATACGGTCGTGTACTTTGTTGGTGAGAACAATGGGAGCAGCTCTCATAACCCTGTTCTCGCTGCCACTGGAGTTGGACTCGATGTAGCACAAAGCTGGGAAAAGGCAATTCGCCAAGCCCTCATGCCTGTAACGCCTCAAGCGAGTGTTTGCACTTCTCCAGGTCAAGGAAAAGACCACAGTAAGTGGAAACACCTTGGTGGCTTCTTGTCTTAAGCATTTGTAGAAATACCTGCATGGCTATGCTTTTTTTTTTCTATTTTGCATTTTTAATACTTAAGTTTTGTCTTTAATAGCCAGTACTATTAGTTAATACTTTCATGAAGTTATACTGCATCTAATATATACATATACATGAATACATAAATGACTGATGGCTCCAGTGTATGCCCACAGCTAGCTACAGAGTTAGTCTCCTTACATTTAAACTGTGCATCTACCAGCCACCTGCTGTCTCTCTGATCTGAGACAGGTACTTTCTTGCATCTCTATAATAATAGCTACTTTGTAGAGTTGTTCATGTTAAATAGAATCAGATTTAAGACAAAGAGCAGTGCCACAGTGCTTAGCATCCATTAAGTCTTGTGTGACTAAGTATTAGTATTTTACCTCATGCTGGCATGTAAACCAGTTATAAAGTACTGTGTTTACATTACACACATAAACCCTGTTAAGTCAGAATGATGTTACTTTTAAGTTAATCAAGACAGAAATCAAAAGCTATTGAGGTGGTCACAGTGGCACACACCTTTACTCCCAGCCCTGGGGAGGCAGAAACAGCTGGATCTATGAGTCAGAGGCCAGCCTGGTCTGTATAGCAAGTGCCAGCCAGGGCCATAGTGAGATTCTGCCTCAAAAAATGAAAGAGGTAGGGAGGGAGGGAGGCAGGCAGGCAGGCAGGCAGGCAGGCAGGCAGGCAGGCAGGCAGGCAGGCAGGCAGGCAGGCAGGCAGGCAGGCAGGCAGGCAGGCAGGAAGGAAGGAAGGAAGGAAGGAAGGAAGGAAGGAAGGAAGGAAGGAAGGAAGGAAGGAAGGAAGGAAGGAAGGATTACACCAACATAACTTATTAAATTAACCCCAAATTTAACGAAGGTTAAATGAATAGCTAATAGTAAGTAAATTATAATACCATTTTTACGTTATTATGTCTATAGAGAATTATAAAGAAGCATAATTCATTAATTATATTGAAATAAGTATCAACTTTCCAAATAAAGTTTATCTCAGTTTACCTATATTATTTTATGCAACTGTTTTGTGCATTGTGATAGGCCTTGAGCTAAAACCCAAAAGAGAATAGTAAAAGCTTTTTAAGGGAGTAGGATATATGTGAGTGTTAGGCAGAAGCTAAATACAGTACAGAAACAAAATGGAATGCTTCACTGTGGAAAGTGAGAGGGAAAGGAGAGGCTTCACAGTGGAAGAATTGGTTTGGAAAGGGACTGCAGTCGAGCACAGCATGCGCAGAGGAAAATGACGAGGTGGAGGAGGTAGTCTTGCTTCAGTGGGGAGACAGGTATCATCGAAAGGGTGAAGGCTGTGATTGTGTACATCTTCAATTTTCAGGGTGACTTGATGAGAGATAGGTAAATGGATAATTAACAGTGTTTAAATTCTGGGGAGATTTAGACAAAATTAACAGTTAATTGAAACTAGGAATTATTTCCCCTAGAAATAGTATCCACACACATTTTAATTTCCAAAGGCTTAGTTAAAAGTCTCTCAGGCAGAATTATAGGCATTAAGAGTGATCATGGAGGGGCTGGAGAGATGGCTCAGAGGTTAAGAGCACTGACTGCTCTTCCAGAGGTCCTGAGTTTAATTCCCAGCAACCACATGGTGGCTCACAACCATCTACAATTCAATCTGGTGCCCTCTTCTGGCATGTAGGCAGAACACTGTATATGTAGTAAATAAATCTTTAAAAAAAAGTGATCATGAAAAATGTGCTTTTCTCATACTTCATTTTTATATCTTACAGAAGATTTGGCTACCAGTATCTCTGTATCTAACTCTCAGGTCCAGGAGAATGTGGTAAGCAATAATTCTATCCTATGTGTGCGGACTTGATAATTAAAATAAAGAAATGAATCTGAAAGTCTTACCAGGATTAAGTCTATTTCCCCCAAGTACTGAGCAGTTAATAAGATACTAACTAAGCTCGACTTAGTAGTGATGCTGTCCCTAAGCTCCACTTTGTAGAGATGCTGTCTCTGAGCTAAACTTCATAGTGATTCTGTGCCTAAGCAGTTCTGTTTTAGGTGAGAAACTAGGGTAGATTGTTTTTAATCATAAACAGTTTCTTCACTTAAAAGGTGACCTGATAATGCTACACAGTGATAAGCTCTGTCATTAGGTGAGGCTGCTTCATCCTGGTGCCCAGCAGCTTCCTAAGGAGAAGTACTGCCTGAGCTGCACGCAGAGGATGCAATGGGGTTTGGCCCAGTCTTGAGGGAGTGAGCTGGGGGACACTCATGCACACACAGGACCAGGAGGAGCAAAGGGGGAGGAAGCAGGAAAAGGAGGGCCTCCCGTGAGCAGATCAAGTTTGACTGCTGAGTGTGAGCACACGCCTTCTGCAGTAGTGTGCAGGCCTCTTCTGTAAAGGGCCAGGTAGATATCAAACAACCCCATGCTGGAGTCTACCCAACTTGTCCATGCAGCAAATACCTACACAGGAGTGAGTATGACTGCTTTAATAAATGTGTAGACATGAAATACGAATCTCATGTAATAGTCACATATCAAAAACTATTGCTTTGATTTGTCCAGTCATTTTAAAAACTTAACCGTAGAGAAAGAGCCAGGAGCCATACTTTGCCACCTCTTGGATCAGATTGAAAGAAACAAAGATGCTAGAAAAGATGCTTATATTCTTCTTTTACCAGTCATACCCTTAGTGCAATTCTGGTACTACACACTCCAAGTTAGTGTTTGAATGTTCTGCGAGCAGCAAGCAGTAACTAAATAATAATAATAGAAATAAAAGGAGCACTGAGTGGATTTATGTTAAAATTCCACACATATCTCAATTCCAGTGTAAATTTAGGGGTTGATTTTTGGATATGGGTCTGGGTGCACGTGTATATGTAAAGGCTAAGGCTAACTCAGGCATCATTCCTGTCCAGCAACCTCCAGGGATCAGCATAGAAAACCTTTTGCTGTGTCACAAAAGTTAAAATATGTTCACGTATTTGAGTGGGAGACATTGGTGGTGTTTGCTTACTTCCCTGATAGGACATCAGCAGCGTCTACCAGATCTTTGCAGACGAGGTGCTTGGTTCTGGCCAGTTTGGCATTGTTTATGGAGGTAAGCAATAGCTTTTTGTAGGTGTAGTTTGTAAGCTGTGAGGTTTTAAGGCAGCTGTTACTCTTTAGCTAACAGCTTTGTTAAATTCCCTTTCCCTCAAAGGCTGGTGTGCATCCTCTCTACTAAGTCCTTCTTCGTAAAAGTTTCTCTTCATTTCAACTGCAAAACCCTTAAAGTGACAGAATCAGGAAATTATTTTTACAATAGTCTTTACGTCTTCTTGAAGACCATACATAAAGACGTGTTGGTGTTGGATTGGGTGGACTGTTTACTGTTGTATGTTCCCCACTAGTTTCCAGTGCAGGGCAGCATTCATTTTCTGTTGACATGAATATTCTATCAGGTCTGGACACCTGAACTCTTACTCTGCTCTGTGATTACAGATGCTAATGAGACTGTTTACCCTCCGTGTGTCTCACTATCTTGACATCTGCTTGGCGAAGCTAGTAAACAGAATTGCACTGCTCATAGACTTAATGGGATTAGTTAAGACTACTGAGTACATGAAAGTGCTCCATAAGCTGTCATTCAAGGTAGAATGTCAAGCCTTTGCCATCCCTTGCTTCCTCCTTCAGTCGGACCCTTCTGTCTTTCACACCAGTCTTGGAGTGATCCTTTCAGAGACTCAGCATCTGCTGTTAGCGTTAGTACGTACAGAGCCCTCTGTCTGCTGCTCGTAGCCACTGTTCTTAGCGTGTGCAAGCTGTGACGCCCTCTTCTTGCTTGTGTGGCCTCCATTGTAGTTGCAGACCCCTTTGGTCTCTTCAGTCACGCTCCCACGCCTCTGCACGTCACCCTGCACCGTCTCCACCCTGTGCTCCCCTGGTGGTGAGCCCTGGTTTGTTTCCCAGCCTGCCTGAGGGCTTCCTCTGATGTGTTTTCTCCCCATCCCCCTCCACTGGATAAATGCTTCCTCGGCGCTCCTCTCACACAGTGGGCACCCGTCTTTGCGTTTCTCTCATGTTGCTGCTGAGATGTCTCTGCTTTCCTTGTGTTCCTAGGACCTGCTGTGTTTCACACAGAAAATGTGTGGATTTTACACATAGCCACAGCACTGTGGTTTGCAACTTCAAATTTGTCTGTCTTAGACTGGTGATCTCTCTGGAAGACCTCACTGAGGGATGAGAAAACGGTTTGAAGTACTGTGGCATCTTACCAAACATAACGTTTGTCTAGTCTTTAAATTGGGCACATTTTAGGACCATGTCCTAGAAACAGTTGTGAGTAATTTTTAAGCTAATAGATTAATATAGAAAAGTCACATGGGTGTTACCCGAAGCTAATAAATAAATGTTTTCACCTCTCAAACTGTAGCAGTTAAACAGTGATCATACTTAACAGATAGAAGGTAACTAATTCCTCTCAATGAATGACATACTCTTGCATGCTTATTTTATATCTAGAATATAAAAATCTGGAGTTTAAGGGTATAACATAGTTAATCACTCTGCTGACTTAGTGAACCTAAAATAAAGTATAATATTTCCATCTTGGCAGTCTCTGAAAACTTAGTCAGGACATTTAAAAACTGTCATTTATTTAACATGGTCTATCACTTCTCAGCAAGCAAGTTCACAAAGAGGTAATGCAACTTCAGATCGTGAAATTTCTCTTATTTTAAGGTGTACTGTAAAGGAAAGTGTCTCATTTCTTAAGTCAATGGAAAAGAAAATGGACAATAGAAAATGCAAGCGTAAACACGTGAAGTTTCAGTCTGAGCAGCTTCGCAGTGAGGCTCTGCTGTTGCGTTGTAGCTGCCATAGCTACCGGTGTGATTCTCTTCTGTTCATCGACAGGAAAGCACAGGAAGACTGGGAGGGACGTGGCTATCAAGGTGATTGATAAGATGCGCTTCCCCACAAAGCAGGAGAGTCAGCTCCGCAATGAAGTGGCTATTTTACAGGTAAAAAGTTAGAGTGGCTGACGTAGCCTTGAATTTTGATTTCTGAGTGAGTATTTAAGATGGTTTGGAATTTGGTTTTGATCTTTTCAATGCTGAACAGTACAGGTTGTTTTTAAAAAAGATTACAATGTTTAAAAGTTTAAAGGGGCTGCTAGTATTTTATTCTGTAATACTAGTTTGATTAGAACTTTTTTTTTCTGAGTGAAATCTCTAAAGATAATAAAGGAAGTATCCTGTCTTCATTCAGGGATACTGCTATTTCTGCTGTGTTTTTATCATGTCGTGATTTTATTCATTGAATTCTCAGAAATGACATTAACATGCTAATTACCATAAAAATAAGCACTAGTTTTAAAAATGTGCCTTTTAACAGTAACATGTTGTTCTATTAATTCAAAGTTATTTGTATTGCATTATTTCTTTAAAACTCTGCTGGTGTTTATTTTGGCTTATTTGGACTTTTTTGTTGTTTCGGTTTTGCTGACCTAAGATGGTTTCACACTCATGGTGACCCTCCTCCAGCTTTATGCCTCCTGAGTGCTGGATTGCAGATGACACCATGCAAATATATGAATACAATCTGCTAATTTCATTGTATGTGTGTGTGTGTATGTATGTTGTGTGTATATGTGTGTTTAGGACTCACTGCTTGGGATTGGAGTTTCACCCCTGTAGCAGACTTTGTCCCTCTCTTGGTAGTTATTACTTGTCTGTAGCTCCTCATTTAAGGGTAGAGCCTTCTGATAGGCCTCCCCTCTATGCTGGCAGTGCCATTTTGCAGGTCTTGCTTAGGCCACCATATTATTGAAATCCCATGGGTGCAGCTTCCCTGTAGTGTAGAAGAAGCTGTCCACAACAGGCTTCCAGATCCTCCCACCCTTTCTCTGTTCTGAGCCTTCAGTGGGGGTTGGGTTGTACTCATGGCCTCTGCATTTGAACCATTTCTGAAATGGTCTCCATCTAATGTGGTTGTATAATCCCTGCAGTATTTTAGGGGGTTTTGTGGTAAGATTATTCTCTCCTAAAGCTGACCATCCAAACACCCTGTCACTTCTCTTCAGAATCTGCACCACCCTGGGATTGTAAACCTGGAGTGTATGTTTGAGACCCCAGAGCGAGTCTTTGTAGTGATGGAAAAACTCCATGGAGATATGTTGGAAATGATTCTGTCCAGTGAGAAAAGTCGACTTCCAGAACGAATTACTAAATTCATGGTCACACAGGTATTTTAACTAAGAGAATTAAATGGCACCATGTTTTTTGTTTTGGGGTGTTTTTTGTTTTGTTTTGTTTTTTGTTTTTTTCCCTCAATATATGTTTTTATTTAAATTAGAAACATGCATGCTTCACTTGTCAATCCCAGCTCCCTCTCTTACCCCTCCCTTGTCCCTCCACCAGCCCTCCCAGCCCCCCACCCAATCCTCACATCATTCCCCAGGGAGGGTGAGGCCCTCCTTGGGGGTATCTCCAAAGTCTGTCATTTTATTCAGGGCAGGACCTAGGCCCTTCCCCATGTGTCCAAGCTCCCAAAGATCATTCATAAACCATGATAAACACTGATCTACTACCCAAGGCCCCAGTGATTTCTGAGGCCTCCTCACTGACACTATATTCATGGAGTCTGGATCAGTCTCCTGCTGGTCTCTCAGCCATCAGTCTGGGGTTCAAGAGCTCCCCCTTTTCTGGTCAGTTGTCTTTGTGGGTTTCACCATCACTGTCTTGATTCCTTTGCTCATCACTCCTCCATCTCTGTCACTGGGTTCCAGGATTTCAGTTCAGTGTTTAGCTGTGGGTATCTGTCTCTGCTTCCATCTGTCACTGGATGAAGGTTCTAGGATGACATCAACCTTACCATCAAGGAGGGGCTATTAATGTAGTCTCTCCACTATTGCTTAGTTTGCCAGTTGGTGTCATCCTTGTAGATCTCTGGAGATCTCACTAGTGTCAGCTCTCTCCTCAAGCCTATAATGACTCCATCTATTATGGTATCTCTCATCCTGCTCTCCTCTATTCTTACCTTGACTCAACCTTCCTGCTCCCCCATGCCTTCTTCTCACATCCTCTTATCCTCCTCTCTTTCTTGGTTCCCTCTCCCCTCTCCCATGTTCCCAATCTGCTCGGGAGATCTTGCCTCTTTCCACTTCTCTGGGGTATCATGCATCTCTCTTGGGAACCTCCCTGTTTCCCAGACTCTCTGGCAGTGGAATTGTAGGCTGTCACTCCCCTGATCCATGTCTAAAATCCATTTATGAGTGAGTACATACCATGTTTGTCTTTTTGTGACTGGGTTACCTCACTCAGGATGGTTTCTTCTAGTGCCATCCATTTGCCTGCAAATTTCAATATCCCATTGTTGTTTTCCTCTGAGTAGTACTCCATTGTGTAAATGTACCACATTTTCTCTATCCTGTCTTCAGTTGAGGGGCATCTAGGTTGCTTCCAGGATCTGGCTATTACAAATAATGCTGCTATGAACATAGTGGAACAGACGTCCTTGTTGTGTGAATGGGCATCTTTTGGGTATATGAAATGGCACCATGTTTATGTATCGGGAAATTAAGGATCGGTAGTCTCAATAAAAGTAAAAAAAAGTTATATCTTGATTAAATATAGTGGAGTTTTGAAATTATCTTCCAATTGAAGAAGTCATATTGGAGTTTAGCTGATTTTCTAGACATTAGAAAAGAAACCCTTGAGCCGGGCGGTGGTGGCGCACGCCTTTAATCCCAGCACTCGGGAGGCAGAGGCAGGCGGATCTCTGTGAGTTCGAGGCCGGGCTGGACCGATAGCCTCCAAAACAATACAGAGAAACCCTGTCTCGTAAAAACCAAAAAAAAAAAAAAAAAAAAAGAAACCCTTTACAGGGGTAAAAATCACTTGTAAATTTTATTTGTGTGTTTTGCCTGTATGTATGTATGTATGCATGCATGCATGCATGTATGTATGTATGCGTGCATGTATGTATGCATGCATGCATGCATGTATGTATGTATGCGTGCATGTATGTATGCATGCATGCATGGTGCCTTTGGTGGTCAGAAGAGTGCATGGCATCCCAGGAACAGAAGTTACAAACAGAGCTGCTGTGTGGTCCTGGGAACTGAACCTGGTGCTCTGCAAGAGCAGCTTGCACTCCTCATGGTTGTGCTGTCTCCAGTCTTGGGTTGGCGTCTAGAGGAATGGGTTTCACGGTGGCGTTTTCGTACCTGCTTGCCATTATACATTGCTCTCATCTGCTGCTCTCAAAACCTTGTCTCAACAGATACTTGTTGCCTTGAGGAATCTACATTTTAAGAATATTGTGCACTGTGATTTAAAGCCCGAAAACGTGCTGCTTGCGTCAGCAGAGCCATTTCCTCAGGTGGGACGTTCTCCAGAACCCGATTAAGAACTGTTTTGAGTTAGTGATATTTACAAAGTACCCTCCTACTACAAAACAGAGCTTAAGTACATGCCATTGTACTTTGTAACTGCCAGTTTGAATCTGTCGCTAAATCATTTCAATTCAGACTTATTATTGTATTGCTATTGCCCATTAAAACATTTTTAGACATAAATAGATCTTAGGAAATAAACTCTTGGGTTTGGGAGTTTTGGGGGGGAGAGTTCTATTACATGTAAATGGCTCACAACCATACATTTAAGATCTGTGCTCTTCAAATATCTGAATAGGAGAGTCACCAAACTCAGTTATGACACAGTAAATATTACTCATAAGACGTGTATCATATGGCATATACTAGAAACAGCAAGTAGCATTTGAATATGCCTCCACTTCTGTTCTCCAGTATCTGTTTGTACTATGGTTTTGTAGACACCGAATCCCTTCTCTCTCAGTTTACAGTAATGCCTTTCCTATGGTAAGTACTTGGCATTTGCCTGTTCGGCATAGCTGCATCATTGATAATCAGAATCTAAGGTGATCTAAAATGATGCAACAAGGTAAGTGTCCTGAGCTCTGCCAAAACCATCATACTTTGAGAACACGTCCTGAGGAGGACATGTAACCTTAATCAGCCCTGAACCAGCTGCAGTACCGAGTTCTACCAGCATAGAGCGCACTTGCTCCTCGGGGTTTCCTGCTGCTCACGTTGCTGTCTGTAAGCCTGGTTTTACTTACTGTGGATATGCAGCATCCCTGGAACAGAAATTCTAAGACGGTGGTTCTTAACCTTCCTGATGCTGCAACTCTAACGCAGTTCCTCATGTTGTGGTGCCCCCAACCATGAAATTATTTTTGTTGCTACTTCGTGACTGTAATTTTGCCAGTGTTGTGAATCATAACTAAACACCTGATGCACAGATGGCCTTAGGCAGCCCCTCTGAGAGGATCATTTGACTGCCCCAAGGGGTCACAGCCCACAGATTGAGAACGGCTGTTCTAAGATTCAGCAGAAGAATGCTTCAGATACTGTATCTTTTTTTTTTTTTTTCTTTTTCCAGACAGGGTTTCTCTGTGTAGCTTTGGAGCCTGTCCTGGCACTCTGTAGGTCAGGCTGGCCTTGATCCCACAGAGATCCACCTGCCTGTGCCTCCCTAGTGCTAAGATTAAAGGGCGTGCGCCACCACCGCCAGCCTCTATCTTATTTTTCATGCATTTCAAACATTTATTGAATACTTTTATATGCCCAGACACTGAGGCCGCTGAGGACTCAAAACTGAAACACAATTCCTACTTAACAGAAAATAGAAAAAGGATCCCCTCACAAATGAAGGGAGATTAGCATCCTCCATCCATCCTGTCAAAACAACAAAACTAAATGCTTGCTCCATGGGTCTGGAAGATAGAGTTCAAGTTGATAAGCACTAGGAAGCCGGGAGGTGGTGGTGCACTCCTGCACTCCTTTAATCCCAGCACTTGGGAGGCAGAGGCAGGCGGATCTCTGTGAGTTCGAGGCCGGGCTGGACCGACAGCCTCCAAAACAATACAGAGAAACCCTGTCTCGTAAAACCAAAAAAAAAAAAAAAAAAGCACTAGGATACTCTACTGTAGTATCAAAAACTGTAGATGTAACTGTCTGCTCTGGGGAAGTGACATTTGAGTTTCCCTGTCCATAACTGTTTTGTGTATCGTTCGTACCTTTGGTTAAGTGCATTGAGAATATCTAGGGATAGCTATTGATATGTAAATTGATAAGCATTTACACTTTCAATTTCCAGGTGAAGCTGTGTGACTTTGGGTTTGCACGCATCATTGGTGAGAAGTCATTCCGGCGGTCTGTGGTGGGAACTCCAGCCTACTTAGCCCCCGAGGTTCTCAGGAGCAAAGGCTACAACCGTTCCCTAGACATGTGGTCAGTGGGAGTCATCGTCTACGTGAGCCTCAGCGGCACATTTCCCTTCAATGAAGATGAGGATATAAACGACCAAATCCAAAATGCTGCATTTATGTACCCACCAAATCCATGGCGAGAAATCTCCAGCGAAGGTAAAAAAAGAAACAAGATTCAGGTTCGCACCATTAGCCTAAAACGTTTGTGATCACAGGCCAGCCTGCCTCTTCACCCCAATCGGTTACCAGTCTTTGAGCACTCTGCTTGTATTTGTTATTTTAATTATTATTATTTACTTTTTACTGTATAGCTCTGGCTGGCCTAGAACTTACCTGTAGACCAGGATGGCCTTGAACTCACAGAGACCTATGTGCCACTTTGCAAGGCCAAGTACTATACTTTTAAGCTGTTTTCTGTGTCTGTTTTTCTCATAATTTTCAGGCATGGCGGTCACCCGGGCTCCAGCAGCCTCATCTTCTCACCTGTGACATCCATGGCCTCTTCCCTCGTTACCCAGTTGTCCCCGCAGCCTGAGCCACTTTGAGCTCCCTTTAACCACGCTGCAGCTGTGGCTTTCTGATATGGCCTTGTGTTTGGTCTGTGGTCCTCCTGGCCTGTCCCTCCTCCAAGCTGTGTAAGAACTACTTAGACTACAGTCTTCTGAGCAAGACTAAGAACTCCTTGACTAGACAGTTAACTCATGCGCCTTCTACCTAGAAAGAGCTTTTCTATCTGCGGTTCAGTTTTCCAGTCCTTCTCTCTCCAGGAGCCTTCATGCTATAGTTTTCATGACTAGTGAAGGCTTTTCCATTTGTAATGCCTGCTTCTATACATGTCAAGAATAAGCCAGGCTGTTGGCGTACACCGTAACCTCACTATTATGGAGGTTTCAGACTTTTTCTCAGAGAAGAGAAAGGCAGGGAAGGGCATAAAGTTGACCCTCTTCAGTTTACTGACGGGGTGTGTCATCCCTAGGGAACAGTCCCTCATAGGTAGTAGAGGTGGTGCTAAGAAATGTCCCCACCCGGGTTTAGCCAGCCATTGAATGAATAGTTTTTTTTTTTTTTTTTTACCTTTCCAAACATGGGGCCAGGTGACAGTTTGATAAATACTCCACCAAACCAAAAGGAGTGTTGAGAACAACAGAAAGACAGTAGCCTGCTGGGTTCACTTTGTAACAAAAAAGCTGAAGTCCACTAGGAGGCTTTGATGCCCAAAGCCACAGATGTCATCCACTTGGCCATAGATTCTGACTCAGCAGGTAGCATGAAACGGTTCCTGAAATAGATGCAGATAGTGAACACAGTTGACAGGATGGACAGCACAGAAATAATGAAGTACTTAGGGAAAACCTTTGCAAGTTGGGACTAGATTTCTTATCTCTATTCCAAACGCACCATTATAGAGTCTGAGATCAATTTGTAATCTTATAGTTGCCTTGATTTTGTAGTGGTTCAGTTTCTCCAAATAACTGAGTAAAATGTGCTGTTTCACCATCAATACCAAATCACCCCTAACCGGTTTGCTAAACCCTGTGGTGTGAACTTTTGTTATTGTTGTATCTTCATTCTCCCTGCGTCTGTAAAGTAAAACTTCTGCCACTGTTTCAGACCCGGTCAGGGAAGAGAGCATTGTGGTTTCGTTGGAAGAGGGAAGAGCATATGGAATCGTCTGTTTGGTTCATCCTCAAGTAACACTGATGGATATTTAGCGCCTGTGTGCGGAACACATTCTAAGATTTCTGTTGGTTTGATTTCAACTTCTCAGCAGTTCCACTATGCAGATGGGGAAATGAAGGCACAGCATAGTTTAGAAATGGACCGTGTCACACTGGTCCTCGTGAGCCTACCCATCCGGCTTTAGTGTATTCATGGAACCTGTACTCTGGTCTGCATCCTTCCCTTCACAGAAGAAGCCAGTGTTCATAGTTACTACAGGAAGCATTTGTGGGTCACTTCTGCGTGTTAAATCCTATATACTAGAGAAGCAAACATTTCTCCCTGCCATATTAGCAGGGATCAGACCGCCCTCCTGCCGGCAGTTCAGTACCCATAAACTCATACATCTAATTTTTCCTTTTCACCTAGCAATTGATTTGATAAACAACTTGCTTCAAGTGAAGATGAGAAAACGTTTCAGTGTTGACAAATCTCTTAGTCACCCTTGGCTACAGGTAAATAAAAAAAGATTCTGCATCTTAGCCTCATGTGAGTTGTCTTCCTTCACGAAACCACTCAACACAGCAGGTTCAGCACATTTCCTGGGATAATCCAGGCTTCGTTAGTCAATGTCTGTGTGTGGCTCGGGCCTCTGCAGTTGTACAGCCTGTCATTCAAGACAGTAGCGATAGATGGATAAATACCCATGAACTGAAACAATGGGCATTTTTTAAGGACTTAGCTATTTACGTCTTGTCTTTTCTTTCCTTCTTTTTCTTTTTCAATGTTAGCATGGCATAGTATTCAATATATTTTACTTTAAATGTCCACTAAAAGGTTTGTGTTTGGCTTGATTCCTCCATGTGTTATTTCAGAGATTTGTCTCAAGACAGAAATCCACACTTGAGAGTAAGCTGAGAAATTGTACAACTGTTTTATAAGAAACTGAGTAGAATTAACATTAACCAGTCCACTCTGGTCTCATTGATTAGTAAGTTAACCTGGTAATGGATTCACACACTTTCTCCTGTTTTGAACAGTAATATGTATGCCTGTAGCAGTAGAAAACAAACGTCTTTATGATGATTACTGTTAGCTAGGGCAAAAACCTAAGAGAATTTTCCAGAAACTAGTTCCTTTCCTTTTTAGAGACATTGCATTTTAAGATCTATCTTTAACACTATTAATATAAAATACAATTAGAATTTAGCAATACTTGAGTTGTCAATTGTGTCATTAAGGTTGTAAACAAGATAGGGTATTTTGTCTATTTTATGGTTCATAATCATTTTCTTTTCCTAGGATTATCAGACTTGGCTTGACCTCAGAGAATTTGAAACTCGCATTGGAGAACGTTACATTACACATGAAAGTGATGATGCTCGCTGGGAAATACACGCATACACACACAACCTCGAATACCCGAAGCATTTCATTATGGCCCCCAACCCAGACGATATGGAAGAAGACCCTTAGTCACCAGCAAGGAGGGGTCTCATTCCATGAGTGGATGCTCTGCTGCATGACTGTTGCTCTCTGCAAGCTGTCATTGCAAGGAGGCAGAGGCAGAGGAAACAACAACTGTGGCACTAATACTGTAGCTCATAACGAGTAGGTACATGAAGGGAAACTGAGTAATAAAATCATGTAATGAAATCAGAATGAAACTTGTTAGAAAGTCTGTAGCAGAAGCAATAACTGGTTCTGTAATTTTCCTTACTCCTCCACATTAGCACAATGTGAATTAGCACTTAATTTATCTCTCCTTTGCTGTTTTATTACATCATTTATTTTAAAGGCATATGACTGTCTAGTTATTGCTCATGAGGTTGATTACTCGACAGGTTTGCAGTTAAGCAGTAACTCTGAGGCTAACAATATATGGTTTGCTGTAAGGACTTTTAATATTTGTCTGCTGTTGGAGGGAGGTGTTAATTCTTCGTGGATCCCTATAAATGCAACACTGTACTGCTAACTTTTGGAGGCTGTCTTTAAATATGGTCTGTATGACTAAAAATTGTCCCCTTTTCTCTGTTGCAGTAGCCACTAGGATAATTGGACAGTTGATGTTACAAAATGAATAGACATAGCTGGTCTTCACTCAGCTCTGGCACTCAACACATATGTTCTCAGTTGACACGTCACAGTGCAAGCTGTGTGCCAACCACCAGCAGGCACAGCTCTGCATTGAACTACGTAATTAATCCTCACATGGGCTTGGACAATTTATAGACAAAATTACGTACACACTCAAAGGAAAGCCAGTGTAGTGTCAGTAAATGCCACTCCACAGCAAGCAGTGTCTTCTCCTTTTCCCTTAGCCTTTGGCTGGGATCTGCAAATGTCTACAATTTTTAAATTAGCATTTTCTTCTAGGGGGAGTGGGTTGAAGTCAGACATGAAAATCCAGTTTATTAGGATGGAACCATGTTACTAGCACAGCAGATGAAGGAAGAGTAAGAAATTATTACACCAGCTCCAGCAGTCAGCTGTTTCTGTAATAATTAATGTAGGTTCAGTAATCCTAATCTGAACAGTTGAGCATCAGAAGGGGCTCAGCTTTCCACACACTGAAAGATCTACATACTGTACTAGCTAAGCATCCCTGGTTTATAAATCTGCAATCCTCTGAAATCTTAGATTGGAGTTCTGAGGCATCTTCCGAGTTTCACATTAGTGATGTTCCAGTCTGCTTTACCCAAAGAAAAGGATCCAGGACCATCCTCTTGGAGGAAATACAGTAGCTGTTTGTTTCTTCATTCCTCATTAGTCACCAAGAATAGGTTTTTATTGTTGTTCTTTTCTGTGCTAGGAGCAAAGACTTGGAGTCAGAGAAACTGGGTGTGAGTCTTAGCTTATTTTTTAGATCTGTTGGGCTGGGCAGGAGACAGTTTGTCTAAGCATTTAGTTTCTCAGTCTGTAGAATGGAGAGCATAAATTGCTGCCTCTGCCTCCCTCGGTGTGGTGTGAAGATGGGCATGTGTGAACATCTGGCAGTCTGCAATGTCGGTGTTGACAGTTACCGCTGAGTCTGAGATTAGCAAAAGAGAAACGGCCTTGTGTGTGAGCAGACCAACACTGAGAATGCCTTCGCAGGTGAGAAAGCAGCCATGGTAATCTACCGAAAATTAAAAACTCAAATCATGCTCACTACTGCCACATGGCTACATACAAAGTTAGCTGCTAAAATTCATAGAATTGAATATGGATTTGAACCCAGGCCTATGTCCCAGCCATTGCTAATGTACTGTACATCTGTATCTCCAGGAGACTTTGCACACCTCTCTGTAATTCTTCTCATACAGCAGTTGTGAAGAGCAATTTTAAGAAACTTCTATGAGGATTTCCCCTGTGCTAGGTGATGACTTCCCTCCATTTATGAAAGGTCTGCTTGACAAACACATACAAGATGGAACAATTTTGCGTCACTCTGCAACCCACTGTGGCTTTACTGTGTGAGGTGAAAACTCACTGGAGCGCCTGTTTGCTTGCTGTACTGATATAATCAGGTTTTACAAGCCATGAAATTAATTGCACTCTGATGTTGTTGAAGGCCTGTGCTATCTAAAGAGAAAGGGACTGTCAAGGCACTGTCAGATAGTCTGGCGTTGAGTTACTACTCCACTGTTTAACCTGCATAACTTTTTGTCTTTGTCCTAAAGCCAAGTTGTGTTTGCATAAAAAGTAATTGTTTCCTAGAAACGTGATAATTTTCAGAGTAGTGTATAATGACACTGTTTCGTACATTTTATATTTTTTGTTACATCCCACTTTTTGTAAATATTCTCAAAACTTGATAATAAAATGTATTTCTATATCACCACACTTTCCTATGTGAAAACCTTAGCCAGTCTCTAGTAGAAGTTTCCCAAGTTTTATTTGGTTGTAATATTTTCCTTGGGCCTGGATAATAGAACAGTTTTGTAAATAGAGCTACTGCTACACGAGCACTGATTGTATTTACCTACCCCCCACAAAGAAAACCTTTCAAAAAGGCATTTCAATCGTATACTGCACTACAGATAATTATCTAGAGGTTCATTTATTGGGATGCAAGTGTGAATAATAATGGTAACTAAATTTTTTCAGTAACTACTCCAGATATTCAACTATTACAACTACCATAAGACTTAGAAAAATTAAATGTCTAATATAAAAAATAAATTTCTAGAATTTATAAGGTAGAAGAAATAGAGATAAGATGAGCTACAAGACACTACTATACTCTTCCCTCTTAATTACAAAAACCAAAACAAATATGTATTTGGGAGGAGCCAACTGTGGGTATTTTATCTTTCGAATGTTTTACTCTAGTCCTTGAAAACAAAAAACAAAACAGTGGCTATTGGAATAGAATGATAGAGCAATTAGGAATGCCCTAAGGCTGCGCAGCATCTAAAAAAAAAACGAAGGCATCAGGGCTGGGAAGATGGCTCAGAAGGTAAGGTGCCTGCTGCACAAACCGCCGAACACCACAGCATGCCGTAACCCTGCCTCATTAAAGGAAACTTGATGTCACAATAAACTACTTCACTAGGTTGCAAACAAGTTGTACCAAGTTAGTTATAACCTTGAACATTCAACCACTCTGATTGTATTTATATAAAAAGGGCTATTTTATTGACTGCAAAAAGATAAATAGTTTGAATACTGACATTACCTTCAATATACAAAATGAGTTTCTTTTATTTTGATTTTTAAAGCACACTGAGGAAGAAAAAGTCCAAGCTGAAATATCACTGCCAGACAAGTTCATCAAACCCAGCTACAGGTGATGCGGGGGTTTTTGACTGACAGGCATTCCTTTCTTGACTTGCATCATGAAGTCTCTGATGGGGCAGTAAGGCAAAGAAGTTGAATCTTTCTCCCATCTTCTGAGGGTTCATTAACATATCATACCCCTGAAGTAACTGCTGCTTCGCGGACGGCTCATCTGCTTTATCTAAAAGAACCTGAAGGGGGAAAGTCTTTAACAAAGGTCACTGGAAGAAAGGCCTCCCCACTGCAGCACTCACAGTGACTTAGTGATCAGTACGGCAGTGCGGCACACGTGACAGAGGAATGCCCATAGCTGTGGGATGCTGTGGCCCAAACGTGCACATCTGCATCTTCAGCAGATGCCCTGAGTGATTTGCTCTGTAAGGACATTTAAGTGTCCTTGGAAGGGGAGTTAAAAAATTATAAAATTCATACCCATGAATGTGGTTTCCTTGGGAACCTCAACCTCATACAGAAACCCAGCAAGCTGGGTGTCACCCCAGCTCTCGCTTCTGCCAACGTCACACCAGGACCTGCTCACTGCAACAGTGTTCGTGAGATAGGCCATTACCTGCAGACGGACATCAATGCCCATGTTCTTTAAAAATGTCCGCTGCTCTACTGGACCCAGAGAGGCGACTTTCCCTTGTGCCATTCTGCGCAGGTAACTGAAATCCACGTCGGCTGTCAGGTCAGCTGTTCCAGGAGCAATTAAGACATCATGAAGCTGGTGTCCACGAAAGCCCTTGAACATAAAGAATAGTTTGACTGTTATAGTTAAACTTTATTGAGATTAAAGAAAGATGTTCTACTAATACATTTTTTTACATTGCCAATGTTAAAAAGAAAAGTATGGCCTAAGTCTGTGGTTTAAACTCTAGTCAATGACAGCCTTCCTTCAAACAAGGTGATACATGGAAAACCCAATAGACTACACAAAGTTGGAATGGCTGAAGATGCTACCTTTACCCTAAAACTACTTAACATTCCCATTGATGCTGTGGTAAGTTCCAGTTATCAGAGCCTTGGTAGTATTTTACAAAATTTACCTGTCAATCAAGACTCAAAACAACCTGAGAATATGGGAGTGTGCTCCATCCAGGCCTGCTCTACTGTAGTCCTGAAGGGAGGCTAGAGGTCGTCGTTTTTAACATGTTCTCCCAGCTAAGAATTCTTAACAACATGGAGTTAGAAACAAAGAACCACTTATCTAGAAAATGAGTAATAGCCTTAAGTTAATGAATACTCAACATATTTAAGCACTGTCGTATTTAAAGAACATTTAGGAAGGGTGAAAGAAAAACCTGGAAAGAAGATGCTAAAATAGTTTGATTGCAATGGTTCAATATGCAAAGTACCTTTTGCCTTTTTTTTTAGTGAAGGTAGGGCTGAAATGTATTCTAATGTTTCTTTGACTCTACACATATGTAAGCTGACTAAGGAAGAATGATGGTAAGATTCAGAATTTGGGGTAATTATAACAGCATAATTAATATTAATTCTAAAATGAATACAACAAAGTAGGACACCACAAAAACCAAGCCAAGTCAACTCTTCAGTGAACTTGAGACCTAGCAATGAAACTCTGATGCAGCATGTCCTGTGTGATACATACTCTGAAGGTGTCTGCCTTTGTGCCATCATGGCCGTAGTCAGCAATCAGGGCGGCGCCTCCAGTGAGGGCAATGCGTTCAGAAAGGTCCTGTATAATAATCCCAGCGTCGGGACACACTTCCACATGGTCCCTTCCTTCGTCGTGCTGCTGAGGCAATCAACACATCACCTAAAAGAACTGTCTCCTTAGGAGTTTTTCACACTTCGACAAGTGGAACATTTCTTAGTTGTAACGAGTTCAACGTGAACATGATCTAGACTGTTTCCCATGACATCCCTTTCATAATACAGCACATGGTTCTTTCATGCTGGATATTACATTTGTAGACATTTCAATATTTTATTTTTTTAAAGGCACATGGTCAAGTGCAGTGGTATCATTTTATTATAAAAGCACTTTCCTATGTTAATATAAGAAAACATAGTTCACTGGGTTGAATATATGAGGAAATGCCACCTCACATTAATTAACAGGGACTCAAAAGATACTGTCAAAAATACCAATTCTAAGAACCCAATTAAATCAGCAACTGTGCTGCCCTCTGTGAAGGCAGAAAGCATTCCAGTGGTGTCCTGTATCTACTACAAGCATCAGCTTATGAACTAGCGATGAGCTTGTAAAATTTTGTTATCATCTTCACTATGGAAACCACCATCCTTCACTCCCTCTGACACTCTGAAAACAAATAACCTACAGTGATGTCTCTGCCTATGATGGAGCAGGCACAAGAGATCGTCAGTCAGACTTGGTGTAGGTTAGACCTCAGCAGTTCCCACTGCTCAATGACAGACAAGAAACTGTCTGTTCTGATAAACGCACACTGAGTCTATAGTGGGATTCAGGAAATTAACACATGGTTAGCCCTGATGATATTAGATAAACCAGTGTAGCTACAAAATCACAAAGCCAGCCTCAGGACACTGCCAGCAAGCCTCAGGTAACCCTGCTGACCCACACCTCAGACTGACCTTGGCCACAGCGGCACCCCCGGGGCCCCACTCAAAAGAGATCCCAAGCCTCCTAAGAGAATAGTCAAGTCAGGAACTGCAAAAGACTACTCCTGGTGACAGGGGACTTCAGGGGGAGGGGATAGCACTTTGGTAGCCTAATAAATATGTTTGTCATAAGATACGAAAACTGCTCATAAGTGTTTAGTCTGGTGTTCCAACCAACACTTTGTAAAGTAAGTAGTTTTCAAACACTTGTTTTTAAAATTGAAAACTTTAGGAAATTCTTAAGAGTTGGAAAGTAAAATGATTTTCCTGGGGTAGAGAAGAGGGAATAAAAAGCTGTGAAGCTCAGGTATCCTGAGAAGAAGGCAGTTCAGGGAACTTTAAACACAGCCCTGGGCTAAAGGGACGGCGCCACAGTTGGGGGCCCGGGATGCTCTTCCAGGGAGCCTCGGTGTGATTGCCAGCACCCACATGGTAGCTAACAACCATCTATAATTCCAGTTCCAAAGGAACTGACACACACAGACATGCTGGTGAAACACCAATATATAAAATAAAAATGTTTTTAAAAAGTAAGCACAGTCCAAAGAGAGAAAGCTCTGGAAACCACTCCTTACGGGCAACAGAGAGCAGCAGTTAATCTGTCCAGTGCGGGGTCAAAGGTAGATCTGGGTTTTCATATGACTCAACAGCTGATGACAGTAGCATGCACCTAGTGGACACCCAGAGCGAAACAATCAGCCGTTACTATACCACCCTGCCTCCTGATAGGGAATCCTCCCTATGAGGTAGACCACATGGCAACAGCTATCATGAGAGGCACTTGGCTGGGTAGACGCTGTCTCCCTCCATAGCAGTGAGATGCCATGCGGGAGCACCTTCAGCCCATCCTGACTCTAGGTCTGCACTGGACTGCGACTCACTACAAAGCACCCCGCGTGCCGCCAGCACTCCCGCTGCGAAGAAGCTAAAATGGCAACTAAGAGATGGGTTAGATGAGTCTGCAGCAACAAAAGAAAAACTCAAATTCATACTCGTATGAAGGCTTCTGCTGGGGTTGCACAAGGCGCCAAGACGAACCTCAGTTTATCAGGAACTTGTGGGTCGATATCAACAAGCACTTCTCTCCATCCTTGTGATGTTTTCTAAACAAAATACATAAAAGCAAATATTTGCAACCTCTTAAAGTGTGAGGTTCTAAAGAAGCCATAACAAATGGAGCTGTGGAAGGCAGCGAGCAGCGCTGGGCTCACGGGAAGGCAGACATCCCAGCAAGCCTGTGGTCTGGGACAAATGACTCCATTGCGTGAGTCACTTTAGCGTGAGGAGTGGCCACAGATAGAGCTAAGAGACTTGCCCCAGTAAACCCTCAGTGACACAGCCATTCACCATCATACACCTTCACCCCAAAACTGAGAGCCACAGTCATGCCCCGGAGAACAAAGGCTCTGGGTGATGGCTTGTGTTCTGTTCTCAGCCATTCACGTTGATGAACGCCCGCATGCTGACTTGAGCAACCAGGGGCTGAGCACTGTGCAGCTCACCAGCACAGCTCTGGTCAATCAAGAGCGCGGTGTTTCCATCATACCTGGAACTTGTGCACGGGAAGAGCATCAAAAAACTCGTGTGCCAGATAAAAGCTGCACCCTGTAAAACACAGGGGGATTAGTGGAGCGGCATTTCCAAGCAACTCTATTGAACATTAGCCACAAACAAGGCGCCCAGTTCATTCTTCAGCGCTGGGACCTGGGATCCTTCCATGCTGTCCTCTATGGTGGTCGTTCCCAGCCTTCCCAATGCTGCGACCTTTCAATCGTGCTCCTCATGCGGTGACCCTCCACCCAAAAAATTACTTTCTTTGCTACTTCATAACATAATTTTCTTACTGTTATGAATCATAATGTAAATATCTGATATGCAGGAAATCTGGGATGCAACCCCTGTGAAAGGCTCATTCAACCCCTAAGGGGTGGCGACCCACAGGTTGAGAACCATGGCTCTATGGACAAGTCACTGTCAACAGCATACAAAAGAACAATTACGCCTCAGTTTGACATAATGACCTGAGAACGGAAATTCCCCATGATCAGCTAACTCTTTTCTTCATCACTAAGTTCCTAAAATGACGAGACTCAAATGTCTTAGCTGGAAGGAAGTGAACTTGAGCGTATCTGAGAAAGCTAAGGCTTTGGGTGTCTTGGAGATCTTACCTCCATGCTGTCAAAGACTCTAGACTAGTGCACGGTGTTTTACCCCCACACCACCCTGGCCTTTGGGCTGTTGGGACTCTCCAGCTTGGGGTGGGAGGCATTCCAAACGCTGCCCAGATGTTCAGCTGGGAACTACTCCTCCCACTGCAAACCTGGCATCGGAAAACCCGCTAAGAGCTGGTTCCCCCACCCCAGCTGCTCAAGACTGTGCCTACAGAGGACTTAAGAGCTGCCATGCATTTCTCTCCTGCTCCCCCAGATCACCAGGAGTTGCTCTGCTCAGATTTGACTTACTGCATCAGCGGAGAAACCCACTATCTTGAATTCAAAAACGCTTGTCATAGATCATTTCACGAGTGCTATCCTAACTAAAAGGAAACACTACAAGTACAGAGGAGACCTCCATTATGGATCTTTGTTGGGTTGGCTGTCTATAAAACAATAGGAAATACACCGCTGCTTAATATTCAGCAATCTTCTATTATAACTGGTTTTGCTAGAAAAGGAAGTCAGTTATTCACTTCCAGTAAGGGACCTGGACGCAGGAGCTGTTAACTGCAGTAAAAAGCCGGGCAGCTGTCACTCTGGGAGGAGCCCACGCCTTTAGCAATACCTTTGGGGACATCCTTCAGATCTCGGTACCAGGAGACTGGAAGCCCAGACTTGGTGACCCCTTTCATGTACACCAGGGATTCGGCATCTCTCTCCAAAGGGAGCTTCTCCTCAGTCAGTGTCAAGGCCTGAATCTCACTTAACTTTTGGCTCACCTCTACAAGGTGTATTGAAATATCACAGGCTTTTAGCACGGACCCAAGCTGACTGAACACCTACAACAGAAAGACAACCGTGTCTTAGTTACTGTCCTATGGCTGTGACAATAGCCAAGACAACATCAGAAAGTGCTAACTGGGAACTGATTACAGAGGGTGAGTTGGTGACCGTTAAGGGGGGGAGGGGTCATGGCAGCAGGCAGGCAGGCAGACATGATGCTGGAGCCAGCTTACATCTTCTCCACAAGCTGGAGGCAGAGGGTGAGAATGGGCCTGCTGTGGGCTCTGCCAGGTGACACACCTGCTCTAACAGTGACACACCTGCTCTAACAGTGACACACCTGCTCTAACATGAGACACACCTGCTCTAACAGTGACACACCTGCTCTAACAGGTGACACACCTACTCTAACATGTGACACACCTTCTCTAACAGTGACACACCTGCTCTAACAGTGACACACCTGCTCTAACAGTGACACACCTGCTCTAACAGTGACACACCTGCTCTAACAGTGACACACCTGCTCTAACAGTGACACACCTGCTCTAACAGTGACACACCTTCTCTAACAGTGACACACCACACACCTTCTCTAACAGTGACACACCTTCTCTAACAGTGACACACCTGCTCTAACAGTGACACACCTGCTCTAACAGTGACACACCTTCTCTAACAGGTGACACACCTGCTCTAACAGTGACACACCTGCTCTAACAGGTGACACACCTGCTCTAACAGTGACACACCTGCTCTAACAGGTGACACACCTGCTCTAACAGTGACACACCTGCTCTAACAGGTGACACACCTGCTCTAACAGTGACACACCACACACCTGCTCTAACAGTGACACACCACACACCTGCTCTAACAGGTGATACACCTGCTCTAACAGTGACACACCACACACCTGCTCTAACAGGTGACACACCTTCTCTAACAGTGACACACCTTCTCTAACAGGTGACACACCTGCTCTAACAGGTGACACACCTGCTCTAACAAGTGACACACCAGCTCTAACAGGTGACACACCTGCTCTAACAGTGACACACCTCCTCTAACAGGTGACACACCTGCTCTAACAGTGACACACCTGCTCTAACAGGTGACACACCTGCTCTAACAGTGACACACCACACACCTGCTCTAACAGTGACACACCACACACCTGCTCTAACAGGTGACACACCTTCTCTAACAGTGACACACCTTCTCTAACAGGTGACACACCTGCTCTAACAGGTGACACACCTGCTCTAACAAGTGACACACCAGCTCTAACAGGTGACACACCTGCTCTAACAGTGACACACCTGCTCTAACAGGTGACACACCTGCTCTAACAGTGACACACCTGCTCTAACAGTGACACACCTTCTCTAACAGTGACACACCTTCTCTAACAGGTGACACACCTGCTCTAACAGTGACACACCTTCTCTAACAGTGACACACCTTCTCTAACAGGTGACACACCTGCTCTAACAGTGACACACCTGCTCTAACAGGTGACACACCTGCTCTAACAAGTGACACACCAGCTCTAACAGGTGACACACCTGCTCTAACAGTGACACACCTGCTCTAACAGGTGACACACCTTCTCTAACAGTGACACACCACACACCTTCTCTAACAGTGACACACCTTCTCTAACAGTGACACACCTGCTCTAATAGGGTCTCCTAGTCTCCCAAATCAGTCCTACCGACTGGTGACCAAGCACTCAAACACATAAACCTACGGGGGCCAGTGCACCACACACTGGCAAACATAACGTGTCAGGTGGACAGGGGTTTCTGACTGATTACCACAACCATTTAGTCCTATCAGAAGAGTATCATTTTGGAAATTTAACCCTGACCCAAGTCATTATCCAGTAACATGTAAGAACATACCTATTAGAGGTAATAAACATCATTTATATACAAAATAAACTACAACATGGCTTCCTAATAATAACTTACTATCAAAGTGAAAAGATTTAGCAACCACATAATGTTTCAGATCAGAAGTTTTTTAAGCCGGGCGTTGGTAGTGCACGCCTTTAATCCCAGCACTCAGGAGGCAGAGGTAGGCGGAGTTCGAGGCTAGCCTGGTCTACAGAGCAAGTTCCAGGACAGACTCCAAAGCTACACAGAGAAACCCTGAATCATGGGACATGATGAAACTGTAGCCTCAGAACTAAATTAAATGGCACCAGTGACTTGACGGACCCTGGGATTCAAACACATTTTCAGTTTTCCCTTCGATACACAACAGTTTATTACTGTTGTGAACATATGGGAGAAACACAGAAAATACACACTTCTTACCCATCTTTTAGCAACTCAAAGGTGAAGGCATAAATGACATCACCCAAGCATTGTATTTTTAGCCTGTACATCACCCTTCTGTAATGAACCATTATATTATTCCAACACTGTATTTTAGCTGACAAATATAAGATTTAGGAAACAGGGCTGAAAGCCCAGAAGATCAATGAAATTTCCAAACTCAGTCAAAAACAGAAAGACTGACCTACAAGACTTGGAGACAATCTGTTATAACCTACCCTCAAAATATCTCCAGTGAGGGTCCCCCGGCCTGGACCCAATTCCACCAGCTGAAAAGCTGGGCTCTTCCCAGAGGCCATCCATTCACTAATGAACCATATCCCCAGCAGCTGTGACAAGAAGAAAACACCGAAGTGTCACAGTGTAAAACTCTACACAAATACATACTATAGACCAAAAAGTGAAACCTTACAAATAATGCTATGTGTGTTTGAAGCAGGCATTGATCTCTCTCTCTCTCTCTCTCTCTCTCTCTCTCTCTCTCTCTCTCTCTCTCTCTCTCTCTCTCTACACACACACACACACACACACACACACACACACACACACAGCATAGGAAGCTAACTATCAGAAAAGATGTTGTTAAGCCCATTTCCTCTATAAAAGACACAGAGAAGCAGTCATTTACAGGAAAGTACTAGCATTTGAAAACAAGGACACAGGAACTACAATGATGCCACTTCTACTTATCCTCATGACCTACATTATTACACTACACTTAGCTGTAGTTAATGCCTCTCAGACCTAGATTCCACTTCTCTTTATGTACAATTTCCTATTTTTAAGTCGCCAGAGGTACTTTTAAGGAAAGAAAGGAACCGTGGTTCTGGTTTTCAGAGAGACCCCACTATGAGAAGGTTACAGCTGGAGGTGCCAGAGGCCACTATGTTCTTTCTTTTCCCTCTCTCCCTTTCCAGTCTCATATTGCATATGGTTCTCCACTTCTTAACCCTCTCCCTTCTTCCCTTGTCCTCTCTCTCTCCACGGCTTTTCTACACTGAAGTCTAGGGTTTCTCAAAAGTCCTCTCCATCGTTCCCTCTCAAAGTTTTAAATATTTGGTGAATATCACACACACACACACACACACACACACACAATTACAGACTACCATAGCCTACCATTCATTCCTTGTACAGACTACACATTGGTTATTACCTCCCCAAAGATCTGACTTATTTCAGGTGAAGTAATGAAGTCTCCTTTTTCTCCAAGCATATCATGATGCACATAATACCCCTGAGAAAAAGAGGAAATGGAAAAGATTCATTTTCAAATAAGGCTTCCAAAACTACTCCTCCAAAATGTTAAATAAGACATAAAGTGATACAAAGGAAATTCTTCTGAAATAGCCAGGATAAAGGCAGTCTTTACCTACATTCTACATGGTATTAGTCATTTTGCAAAACATAGGAAAACAATTATTCCTCATGTAGAAGCCTGGAGCCATGCAATGGTCATATTATCTTCACCCTGCCCTCTCCCCACTCCCACAGTCCAACACAAGAAGACTCTATCCCCCCCCCCCCTCTGCCAAGCCAGTCTTGCCTGTTGGTGATAGTTTCTTGACCGTGGTGCAACTTACATAAACGTTCTGTGTGTGAAAGTGTAAGAGAGAGTGTGTGTGTGTGTGTGTCTATGTGTGTGAAATCCATTCAATTATATACCAGTGACTTACATACTTTTTATATGATTAATGTATCTCAATTAAAAAGGTAGGTTTTCAGCCGGGCGTTGGTGGCGCATGCCTTTAATCCCAGCACTCGGGAGGCAGAGGCAGGCGGATCTCTGTGAGTTCGAGGCTGGACTGGTCTACAAAGTGAGTTCCAGGACAGCCTCCAAAATAATACAGAGAAACCCTGTCTTGGAAAAATAAAAAGGGTGGGTTTTCTTTTTTTTAAACTGGCTTTGCTTGTCTACTTCAATGCCAATGCGAAACTTTCTTCCACTTTTAGTTCTCCTGGCATCCTTATCAGTTCAGTTTACTCAAATACATCTCACTGACCTCTCTCCTAAGACTTCTGTCTCCAAACTAAATCCAATGTTTTTTTTAATATGTCTATCATTACTCTGATCAAAAGCTTAATTATTTTGGGAGAAGACCATGTCTTACTATCTTCAGATCCCAAGTTAGACCAAACACTTAACTTTCAAGAATGACTCACTGGCCAGGCGGTGGTGGCGCACTCCTTTAATCTCAGCACTCAGAAGGCAGAGGCTGGAGGATCTCTGTGAGTTCAAAGCCAGCCTGGTCTAAAGAGCTACACCGAGAAACCCTGTCTCGAACGCCCCCCCCCCAAAAAAAGAATGACTCGCTGGCTCTCAAGTTTCTTATAGGCAGGCGGAGATCATCTAGAATCCCAGCACTCAGGAGAGCAAACAGAAAGACCCTCCCCGCAAGTTCGAGGCCAGCCTCATCTGCACGACAATCCCCTGAGAAAACCATCTTTAACTCACGAAATCCCCACCACATTGTCACACCTAAACACCACGGAAAATTTGTCCTGACCTCTTTATACCGCACCGCCCCGGATCACCCGACAGATTAAACTGCAACCCAAGGATTTCGGGGACGGCTCGTCCTGAGCCGGTCCGCAGGACCTTCGGGCGCCTCTGTGCATACCCCCTCCGTGGCTCGCCCCCCCCACCCGTGTTTACCTTGGCTGGGTTGGTCAAAACCTCCTTCATGTACTCGGCCACCGTGATAGGACCCGTAGACTTTATTTTATACGTAAGATGCCGCAGCATCGGCGTGCCCCGATTGCTTTCTGCCGCCTCATCCCTGGAGCTGAAGCGTTTCCCTCTCCACACACAGGGGATGCCTGAAAAGCACGGTTAAGCACCCGCATTAGAAAGCATCGTTTGCACGCGCGGGCGTGCAAGAGCGTGCACTCCGAACCCGAGGCTCTGCGCCCGCGACGACCCCACGGCCAAGCCTCTGCCAGCGCCAGGCCCAGGAAACCACGGAGGAACGGAGGAAGCCCCCGACGCGGTTTCCACGGAAACCGGATCCCGCTGCGAGGACTCTTACCCACGCGGGCAACCCCGCGTCTCAGGAGCGCGTTCATCCCCAGCCACAGCGGGGCTCAGGCTCCGCCCCCTGGGAGCGGGGATAAAGGGTCCTTCCTGGCACGCCCACTCGAGCGGAAGTGCGTCCCCGGAAGGGGAAGTGGGCTGCTACGGGCTGCGCGCGCGCGTGGGCTGCCAGCCATGTCGGCGGACCGGGAGCCTTTGGAGTTCCACGCGGAGCGGCCCCGGCGTCCCCGGGCGGCGACAGAAGATCCGGAGGAGGCAGAGGAGGAGGACAGCGATGAGGCCCGGAACGGCTTCTCTCTGGAGGAGGTGCTGCGCCTCGGAGGCACCAAGGTAACGGCCGCGGGCTCCGGGCAAGGGACCGCAGCCCGGCCTCCCGCGCCCGGAGCCGCTCTTGGGCGGGAGACAGAAACTCGGATGGCGAGTGTTCTCCCGGGTCCGCGCCCCCTTAGGATGTAGACGAGCTCGTGCCGGGCCTGGCGCAGCCCTCACGCCCGTCGGGTCGGAGAAAGCTAACTTATGTCCCTGCCTCGTGTCTGTGATCTGAATCCACAGGGTTAGAAGGTACACAGATACCAAAGGACCTGCAGGTCTATTCGCCTTTTATAAAAGCGCCTTTTCCTCCCTACACTGCCTCATAACGAGTTTTTATTTATTGCTGGGGGTGGTGTGCGTGTGTGTGTGTGTTGGTACTCGTGTGCGAAAGCCGAAGGACAACTTTGTGGAGTCGATTCTCTCCTATACATGGGTTCCGGGGATTCAACCCAGCTCTGCAGGCTTGCTTGGCTAGGACTTGTTTGCTCACCTGAGACTTTGCAAACGCATATGTCGTTGCGATTGTCATTGGATGTCTGTCGGCTTGAGCGTCTGCCCGTGTCTTGAAGGAAAGTTCTTTTCCCTGTAATGTACAATGTCGTTGGGATTGTCATTGGATGTCTGTGGCTGTCAGCTTGAGGGCCTGCCCGTGTCTTGAAGGATAGTCCCTTTTCCCTGTAGTGTACATATCCTTGGCACATTTTCTTAATGGAAATTCTGTGACCTTGCCAGGCAATAGTGCAGTAATTCAAATGTGATAGTTTTCAAAGTTGAGGTTCTTTCTGAAGTTCTGGGTTTGTGATACAGTTTTAACTCTTTTTTTTTTATGTGTCTGCAGCAAGATTACCTTATGCTGGCTACTTTGGATGAAAATGAGGAAGTGGTGGATGGAGGCAAAAAAGGAACAATTGATGACCTTCAGGAAGGCGAATTGGAGGCATTTATTCAAAATCTTAATCTGGCCAAATATGCAAAGTTTTTGATTGAAGAGGATGAGCCGGATAAAAAAGAAAACGGCAGCAAAAAAGAAGCAAAAGTACTAACGGCAGAAAGTGAAAAGCCAAAAGCACCAGAAGGTAAAGCTGCATCCGAGAAGAAGGTGAAAGCACCAGAAGGTAAAACTGCATCCGAGAAGAAGGTGAAAGGTAAGACTGTGCCAGAGCAGCACTCTGACAGCAGTACCATCCCCAAAACAAAGAAAGGTCAACAAGCCGACGTGTTTGAATTTCTCGAGAGACAGACGCTGTTGCTCAAGCCTGGAGGCAAGTGGTATGACGTGGATTACAGCAACGAATACTCTTCAGAGCCCCAGCCTAGGGATGTGGTGTCCCAGTACAAGGCTCTGGCCCACAAGCTTTATGAGCATGAAGTCAACTTATTCAAAACTAAAACAAATAATCAAAAGGGAGGCTCTTCCACCTGGATGAAGGCAATTGTGTCATCGGGGACACTGGGTGACAGGATGGCAGCGATGATTCTTCTGATCCAGGATGATGCTGTCCACACACTCCAGTTTGTAGAGACCCTCTTGAACCTCGTCAGAAAGAAGGGCAGCAAGCAGCAGTGCCTCATGGCTTTGGACACGCTCAAGGAGTTACTCATTACAGACCTTCTGCCAGACAGCCGGAAGCTGCGGGCCTTCAGCCAGCATCCTTTCCACAAGCTGGAAGAGTTGTCCAGCGGCAACAGGGACTCCAGAGATAGAAGACTCATACTGTGGTATTACGAACACCAGCTGAAACACTTGGTAGCAGAATTCGTGCAGGTCCTAGAAACCTTAAGTCACGACTCCTTGGTAACCACTAGAACCCGAGCGCTGGTGGCTGCTCACGAGCTGCTCTGTGACAAACCTGAGGAGGAAAAGGCCCTTCTTGTGCAGGTGGTGAACAAGCTGGGGGACCCCCAGAACAAGATCGCCACGAAAGCCTCCCACCTGTTAGAGGTGCTACTGCGGAAGCATCCCAACATGAAAGGAGTTGTGTGTGGAGAAACAGAAAGGCTTCTCTTTCGCTCCAACATCAGCCCCAAAGCTCAGTATTATGCAGTTTGCTTTTTAAACCAAATGGTCCTCTCCCATGAAGAAAGTGAGTTGGCTAACAAATTAATAACTCTTTATTTTTGTTTCTTTCGGACTTGTATCAAGAAAAAAGACATTGAATCAAAAATGCTCAGTGCCATTTTAACAGGAGTGAACAGGGCATATCCTTATTCTCAGATAGGTGACGACAAAGTGAGGGAGCAGGTGGACACTTTATTCAAAGTGTTGCATGCTGTAAATTTTAATACTAGTGTGCAGGCTTTAATGCTACTTTTCCAAGTCATGAATTCTCAGCAGACAATATCTGATCGCTATTATACAGCACTATACAGGTAAGTGCATAGCCCTGGAGTGTATGAACATGGCAAAAACTTGTCAGTATATGGCAAAAGGAAGATTTTAAGATTTTAATATAGATAGTGTATATGTATATATAGTGCGTATATATATACTGATGTATACTATGTGTGTATATATTGTGTATATGTATATATACTGTGTATATGTATATAGTGTGTATACATATATAGTGTATAGTGTATGTGTATCTATATACACTGTATATATAGTGTGTGTGTATTGTGTATGCTTATATACTGTGTATATAGTGTGTCTATATATAGTGTGTGTAGATGTATATGTGTGTGTATATATATAGTGTATGTGTATATATGTGGGGTTTGTATATATATTGTGTGTATATATATAGTGTATATATGTGTTGTGTGTATATAGTGTGTGTGATGTGTGTGTGTGTGTATATATAGTGTGTGTGAGTGTGAGTGAATGCATATATCATGTGGTGGGGGGGCACCCCCAGCAACTGAGTATTCACCAGCTTTGAGCAAATGACATCCTGACACCTGTTTTAAGACTTAAGTCTTTTGAGATAGTAGGGGACTAGAACAGGGTATAACTGAAATTCCCTTTCCCCTCTGTTCTTCATACAGCTGTTCAGTAATTCATTCAGCAAGTGGGTTGTGAGTGCTTCATCTGCCCATGGTCTGGGTGTGTAAGGCACCGTGAATATAAATCACACCCCTGGAGACCCTTACTAGATGTGTGCTAGAGAGTGGGTGTTATGGGGGTCAGATTGCAGGGGCTTTGTTTTGTTATGCTATTTTAGCCTTTAGATTAAGATTTTGTTCCTGTGATTCATCAAGGCAAGTATTTCTAACAATGTAAGCACTTCGGAACTACCTTACATATGCCAGTAAACTGTGTTGGGGAACTTATCTTTTTCTTTTTTCTGTTTTGTGTACCTTAACTGCTCTGGAAATCACAGAGATGTGCCTGCCTCTGTCTCCTGAGTGCTAGGATTATGGCATGTTCTAGCACACCTGCCATCTAATTTGTTATTTATAGTTACACATTGTTTCTAACTTAAGAAGGAAAATGTAAAGTAGTGGTTAATAGTTTAGACTTAAGCCACACTTAGCAGGCTTTAAATCTTAACCAGTAGTTTGTCATGTAAGATTGATTAGTAAAATGCAGAGATGTGTATCTGTCTCCTGGCCTGTTGCTCAGATTAGAAAGCATCTTTAAAAGTCACAGCTAGTGAACGGCAGAGCCGACCCCTGACGGAGAAAAGCTTTAGGGGCCTGGATAAGGTGCTTGCCAACAACCCTGACAACCTGAGTTCAGTCCCCCAAGACCCACTCGGTAAAGACAGACTAACAACTCCCATAGGGTGTCTCCTGACTTCCATGGGCATACACACCAATAAATAAAGTCAGAGTTTAAAAAAACTATCTGGGATAGTTAATGAAGACTTAGACTTAGTACATGATTGATTGTCATCATTTAAGGAGATGGTACATGGAAGCCTGGGACAGAGCAATCCCAGTTCCTTCGGGCCTTTGGAGAAAAGGCAGGAAAGCTGAGGAATCAGAGTTTAGGAAACGAGAAAGTGTAAGCATAGACTAGAAGAACCGATTTTAGGCGCTGTGTACCTGCAGAGAGCATTCTGAATGGGGATGGTGTGTATGGAAGGGACCTCTGTGATCCACTGGATCACATTCTTGTAGGACTCCTAGTTTCCTTTGTCACTATGTGTAGGAGGTCTTCATAGGTGTCAGTCTTTATTGTTTTGTTAGCACCTCGATGTGTAGCCCTGGCTGACCTTGAATTCCTTGCTGTGGAATGCATGCTGGCCTAGAACTCCATGACAGCTGCCTGCCTCTGCCTTACAAGAACTGATTTAAAGCAGATTTATAATTTGACTTCTGTATAGCCTTTCTGGTGAGGCTGTGAATCGATACGAAAACTACACTGTTATACCATGTTTTATAAAAGAATTAGAGGAGAGAAAAGTCACAAAACAAATGGATCTTTTTTTTTCCTCTCTTGGTTTTTCAAAACAGGGTTTCTCTATGTGGCTTTGGAGCCTATCCGGGCACTCACTCTGTAGACCAGGCTGGCCTTGAACTAGAGAGATCTGCCTACCTCTGCCTCCCAAGTACTGGGATTACAGGCGTGTGCCACTAATGCCCCACCACAAATGAATCTTATCTGATGACTTCTTACCTTTTGCTTTCTCTCAGGGTCATTGATTTGCATTTTATCTGAGAAGGCAGAAATCAATAGTCTCTTATTTTAATATATGCAGGAAATTTATCGCTAACAAAGATGAGATTGTTAGAATTGGTTGTGGAGTCTCTACACTGCATGTAAATGAAGATGATCTTATGAATGAACATTGACTGTGGTTTCCTGTTACAGAAAGATGTTGGATCCGGGGTTGATGACAT